AGGTGTTCGTGATGAACTTTCAAAACGAGAAATTTCCCCTGTGCCATTAATTGTTTTTGCTAAAGATGCACATTTTGGCCTTCAAGATTTAGCTGCAACTGGTTTATTTGATGTTATTAGTCTTGATTGGACAATAACACCAACAAATATACATCAATTACGAAAAGAAAATCCAACATTAACACTTCAAGGAAATCTTGATCCATGTGCACTTTATGCATCAAAGGAAAATTTAGAAAAATTTGTTCGACAAATGCTTGAAATATTTGGAACAAAAAGATATATAGCTAATTTAGGTCATGGAATATATCCCGACATATCTGTTGATAATGTTAAATGGTTTATTGATGCTATTCATCTTATTTCAAAAGAGATGAATGATAACAATACAAACAAATCATAATATTGGTTTTCTTAGTTGTCTTTTGTTTTGGGTTGCCCTTGTTTTTTTGTTATGTTATTATTACACCTGTTTTCACACTTAATTAATTATTAGGCTCATTAGAGATTCACGAATGGTTTTTCCTAAATTTTCAGATGTTTGATTGGCTTCTGCCATCGTTTTTAATGCAAAATATTTCTTCCAATGAAGTAAGTTATATTTGCTGTTTTTCTGTGTGAATTTGTTGAATAGAATTTAATATAGAAGATTAATGTTTTAATAATGATTGAAGTTTAATTTTAATATGTTTTATTTTAGAAACCACAAACACAACTTCGAATACTTGGCATTCATCAATTGAATGATCTTTATACTTTATCACATCCATTTTTGACATGTCCTGAAACGATTGCTCATCTTCGTCAAACAAAGGTATTTGTTAGATATATTATTAAAAGCATAGTCTCGTAGGTTCATTGTAGAAATGAAGAATTCTTTAAGATGCTTCCAATTCAATGTTTAAACAGAAGCGTTTGTTTTTGGTGTTCTTTTGTCACGGTTGATTAGAGTTCGTTGTTTTCTGTATGAAAAAATTGTTTTTGACATATTGCAATGATGTTTTTGTAGTGAAACTTCGGGTGAAAACAAATTAGAGAAGCGTATTAAAATTGAAATACGTTAAAAACATCAAATCTCCACATTTATTCGAATTTTTTTATTGATTTTGTTCGTCATATATTTAGTAAATAAATGATGCATCTTTTCGAAAATATAAATTTTTTCGATATGATAGCGAAATGTTCATTAATATGGGTTTATATTCTTGAATTTTAATCATCAGAAGTTGAGCTCCGAATAAAACGAATATCATATTGAGAATCAACAGGAAACTTTCCATCGAATAGCATAGTCAATACTCACAACAAATTGTCGCCAAATTTCGACCTTGGAAAAAGCACAGGTGAGAGTATTTGAAAAATAACAGTGAGTAGGTGTAACGACCGAAATTTGACGAAAACTTGTTTTTAGTATTGAGCATACTATTTGATACAAATTTTTCTCTTGATTCTGAATATGACATTTGCTTCGTTTGGCATCGAAGTTCTGATAATCAAAATCTTTAAATACACACCCGTATTTATGTTGGTTTTGCTATCATATCGAAAAACATCGATTTTCTCAACAGTTAAACAATATTCTTCAATTCGTCGGCTTTTCTGATTCTTTTTATTTCAATTTCACTACAAAAACATCGTTTGAATATGTCCAAAACAATCTTCTTATGGGTAACTGGACGAGCTTTATTCAATCATGGCAAATAAAATATTTTGTCAAATTTTGAATCGTCGGCATCTTACACCCATAATAGAAACATGACAGAATATGCAGCAGTATACAGAGCACTATAAAGGTCATCTATGTTTGTCAAATGTTTATACTCAAGGTTTGCATTTATTTTATTGAAATATAAAATTTTCTTTCTGAATTAAAATTATTCTAAAAAACTTAATACAAACAAATGCTTGTCAACATAGTGAAATACAGTATAACCTTTTTATAGTACATATCTTTTGAACTTTTCAAAAGTATCCACTCTAGAACTATATAACAGTATCGACTGTACGGAGATACATCCCCAGCAAAAAAAAAGTAATAGTTGGTATTTTGAAAAATATGCACTATGAGAGATTTTACTATATATATTTCCAAATGATTAGAAATCTAAAACGACATATATATAAATTTCATTGTAGGTTATGTTTTTAATGCGTGGACTACCTGGATCAGGTATTTAAAATAATAATATTCTATTATTATTATCATTTAATGATTAGGTAAATCAACAATTGTCACTATTCTTAAAAGAATATATTCAAAATCTGTTGTTGTTTGTTCGGCTGACAATTATTTTATTGATAGTCAAGGTAATTATAATTTCAATCGAGACAAAATTAGTGACGCACATTTATCATGTCAACGACACACAGAAGATGCTTGCAAGTAAGAATTTCAATTTTGATAATGTTACTTACTTTCTTTTTTTTTATAAATATTTATTCTTTCCTAAGGAATAATATTCTTGCTGTAATTGTTGATAATACAAATATTCGAGTGGATGAATGTAAACCATATTTTCAAAAAGCAACTAATTATGGTTATGTTGTTATTGTTGTTGAACCACGAACAAGTTGGAAACGTGATGCAAATATATTAATAGGTTAGTTAATAGTTTATTATTGGAAACCGGAGTCGAATTTTTTTATTTATTATAGATCGAAATGCACATGGAGTTCCAATCGATATAATTGAAGCACGTCTACGCGCATATCATCCACTTATACCATTTTGTTTTGGTTTATTTCTTAATCATGAACAATCAAACTATGTTCTTCAAGAAGCTTATGATTATTATCAACAAGCATTACAAACATTTCCTCAATTAAAAAAAGAGCTGGAACAAATTAGTCGAGATAAGAGTAAGAAAAAAAATAAATTACAGGATGTCACAAAAATCCGTTCGAATAGTTTGCATGAATAACTTTCAAGAAAATTTAAATAATTTAAAAGAAATAATATAATAGTATATTTGGTTAAAATTTTATTTCATATAACTTGGTTTACAACATATGTTCAATAGAAGTGTCCTCAACTGAAAAAAATAAATAAATCCTACATTTTTGCGAAATCTTAAAAAAATACCTAATGTAAAAAAGTTTATTTCCATAATAATTTTTTTTCCATTATCGTTTCTTATGTTGAAAAGTGATGTAACGAAGGATGTACACCACTCTTCCGTCCATATTCTTTGTCCTACCATCAGGAAAAAAAAAATAATTGTCATCATTTACACTATGTCGGATGAGTTATTTGACAAATATTAGAGTACCACACTGTCACTCATGATTTCCTGATTGTGCTAGTAATTTTGAATTCAATCAAATGTTTATGTACACCATATACAGATAGGTTTCCACTTTATTTATATGGAGCAACCATTTAAATGAAATTTCATCCCCAGAAAAAAAATAGAATTTTCATAGTTGTTGATGTTTCCGAACATTCGTATCAACAGTTGACTAGAGATCTTCAGAAAATTTCTCTCAGTCACGGTACATAGTACAAAAAAAAGCTTACCCTGTAAATCCAGATACTTGGGAAATTCAACTCAATCTTATTAGTTATCGTAAAGTTGTTCGATAAATTGAATCTCGTACGACTGCCTTAGAAGATATTAAGTCATAATTCGATCTGTTGTTGTTCTTAAAATGAAACAGACTACTGTCACAACCCGAACACTCCATAATGAATTTGATGAATTTTCTCTTTTGCAATTTCTGAAAGTCTTTCAAATTGTTGTTCATTTTCTACTAAATTTATTTCTCAGAAGCAATGAAAAACATTTCTAGTATAGTCTATATCTGATGTTTGTACGTCAAATTGAACTTGCAGTATTTCTTGCATATCGATAGATAATTGTAATTTGACCAATAACAAAATTATTTTTTTTTCTAATGTTCATAAGCACTGACTTTAATATACAGAATAATAAGCTTCAAAAAATAAACTATTATATTATTTTTAAATAAGCCATTTGAACTGCTTAAGAGTTATTCACTAAAACTTTCCGAGCGAACTTTTGTAACATTATATATTATTTTTTTCATTTTTAATAGATATATCAGTTCATAATTTACTAAATCGTGCAAATATGAGTGTTCAAACAAAAATTCTTCATTGTACAATGAAATTCATCGGAAAAGTAACAGATCAAACTCGAAAAGATTATACAAATTATGCTGCTAATCGGTTAATATCACATTCACTTGGTAAAATGTTTCGAGCTTATATTGTTGGATTTACAATAACACCACGTACTTTAGGTAAATAATTAAATAGAATAAAACAAAAGAATGAAATTAATTTGTCTTCTTTTTTTATATCATTCTAGGTGCACGTCTTCTTTTTCCTGATTGTCATACATGGGCACTATGGGATCAAGATGATAATGAATTACCAAAGAAAGAATCATCATCACAAATTGGTACTAGTGATAATAAAAAATCTCGTCCATTTCGTCATAATAATAAATCAAAAGTAACAACAGCAACAACTGATAATTTAAATACAAATGATGATTATGATACATCTATGGTTAGATCATTAGCTGATGATGATATACTTTTAGTTGATAAAGTATTAACATCAAATATATCGGAAAAAGTTACATTTCTTCATCCAACATTTGGTTATCTCTCTCGTGCTCATTTAACATGTGGTGTTGCACCCGGTATAAATGCTTCACAAACAGGTCATGATATAATTGAAATGATTCAAAAAGAAAGTGATATTATTCAAAAAAATTTTCCTATACCTGAAAGTAATGATGAACGAACAGTTATGAGATTTTTTGGTAATGGACGTTGTATTATTTATCTAAAAGAACCAATTCCAATTGAAACCATTTTTGGTGGATATTTTCATTAATAAGTTCTTTTATTTTCTATCAAAATTTTCTCATAATCGAGCTTGAAAAGAATTTTTCCCTGTCTTTTTATTTTATTAAAAAGACTCGTTTTTTTTTGGTATTTCAGATTAAATTAATTTTGATAGGAATCAAATGGAAACAGAAAATGAAGATGAACAAATTCAAAAACAATGTGTACAGTTATTTTCATCAACTGATTTTATTATGGAACCAAAAGTTTTTGATACGATCAAAGAGTAATAAAAAACTACAATGCTTTTATGATTTATTCAAAAATCTAGAAAAACAAACCTACAGGATATATAGAAGCTTCAAGGATTTTTCTATGCATTTTATCATGAAAGGAAACCGCGCGTCCAAGGACTGAGAAATAGGAATTCTTTTTCAGTTATATGATTTATCAAATAAAAAAGAAATGTTATATTCATGATATTTTTTGCTCTCATATTGATATCCATCAAGGAATTCGTGAGCATAAATGTGCGGGTATGAAAACTATTACAGAAAAAATCCATCATTTCGGCTTTTATGAATAACGAAACTGAGGAAACTAGTAGTTAATTCTTGTTTCTCGAAGGAATCATCATAGCTTCAGTGAGAGTGTTCATTTATTACTTAGGAATCCCTATTACTCAGTTACAGGACATTGCTGGAGATAGGCACCTGACGGAGGGCAAGAACGAGAGACCAGATGAGACTATTGAAGAGCTATTCACTTGTGTTTTCGTGCATACTCTTGGAATATTCTATTTTTTCTTGACGTAATAAATAATCATTGACATATGAAATGCTCTGTTATTACGGAAAGTAAAATTGAATTGTTGCTTTAACCTATGTGAAGCTTAAAAAAAACATTTTTTGATATATTTGTAACACAAATCGTTAAACGATTAAAATGGTCTCTATTTTCTTTTTGTCTATAGTTATTTTCGACATGGTGGTGCGCCCGATCAAGTTATTGAACTATTATCAGAAAATTATATGGCTATTGCTCAAACAGCTACATTAATGGCTGATTGGTTGATATTAACGGGTGTTGAACCAGTTGATGTTGTAAACATGATTGTACAACATTTACAAACATTAATTGAAAAACATTTTGAACCAAAAAAAGCTGATAGTATTTTTGAAGCAGGAGGAGTAAATATTTATTTCCTTTGTTTTCTTCTTTTTTTTTTATCTAAAAAATAAATGTTTATCTTTATTATATTTAGGTACCATCATGGTTAACTGAAATGACTGAACATATGAATTGGCGTTCAATGATTTATAAGTTGGCTGAAGAATATCCACATTGTCTTATGTTAAATTTTACAATAAAAGTAAAAATTAGAAAAAAAAGCATTTTTATTGTAAAGAAATAAATTTGTCTTTAAAAATAGCTTTTGGTTGATTCGGGTCATGAGGATGAAATAACAAGTGTGCCTGTAGCTGCACAACAAGTTGAAGTATTTACAAAAGTACTTATGACAACAATACAACGAACAATTGATAGTGAAGCAGATGAATGGAAACGAAATATTCAAGAACTTGTCGTATGTTTTTATATGTAGACTATTGATCTTTTGTTTCTTTGTTCTATTAAAGATTTGAAGACAAAAAAATTCAGATTCATTTTTATGAGAGAGATGTCATAAATTTAATATATGAGAAATTTATATGTGTAAGAGATCGATAATTCAAAATTTGAGCAATTTTTTTTTGCTTTTTTTTGTCATATGCAAACGATGTTTCTGTAGTGAAACGTAGCAAAATTAAATTTAAAAATTTTAGAAAAATCTATAAGAATTGAAATACGCTAGAAGCATCATGCCTCAATATTTATTCGAATGTTTTACTTATCATATAATCAGTAAAAAAAATGATGCATGACTTTTGAAAGTTATTTGATTGTCGAGAAAATCGTTTTTTTTTCGATAAGATAGCAAAACATCATAAATCAGGATTCTTATTCTAAGATTTCGATCATCAGAGCTTCAGTTTCGAAAGAAACAACTATCATATTCAGAATCAGTAGGAAAATCTTCATCAAATTAGATACTTAATACCTACATCAAGTTTTGGTCATATTTCGACCTTATAGGAAGCACGCAAGTGAGTATTTGAAGATTAATTTTGAGTAGTGAGTGCACTCTTCGATGCAGACTGTTGTACTAATTCTGAATATGATATTATTTTCTTTTGGAAAATAAGTTCTGATGTTCAAAATCTTGAAATACTAATTCCGTAAGTATAGCGTTTTGCTATCATATAGAACAAATCGATTCTCTCTACAATCAAATATCCTTCAAAAGGCACGCAGTATTGTTTGTTTTTTTTTTGTTAATTTTGACATATAACATCACAAAAACAGAATTCGGATAAGTATAGATACTGTCACGACTTGATCCTTGTGACATATTTCAATTTTTGTAGGTTTTCCTGATTTTCTTTGCCTACTTTTCACTACAAAAGCATCATTTGTATATATTGAAAACAACATTGTTATAGGTAACTCGACGAGTTATATCCAACCATTACAAAAAACTGTTGTTCACATTTCGAATTTCCGGTACCTTACATTTTCATATCCTTACTTACATAAATTACAGAAACTTCTCATGTAAACAAAAAAAGGAAATGATTTTATTTAGGAAAATTTCTTTTTATTAACAGTCAAAGACGTAATCATTTTTCTGAAACAATCAGCAGTTATATGATCTAAATAAAATAAAAAATAACACATAAAAAGAAAAATTTCTAATCTCTACACGTTATTTTATTCTATTAGCAATTGGCTTGTCATAGTGAACATACATATTTATATGCACAAAGTGTCCTATCATCACTTGCAAATGATGCTAAATCGATGATTATTCGACGAATTTCTGAAGAAATTGAATTACATGCAAAAGCAAAGTAAAAAAAAATGACTCTATAATAACTAACACTTTTTTTATTCGATTGTTAATCAGGGGTCATAATGTTACTGAAATAACTTTAACACTTGATGGTACAACGGCTTTTCCTAAAGTTTATCAACCACTTTGTGCTATGTTATCAAAAAAAGCTCTAAATCCAGCTGATGTAACTACTGTAAGTAATTTTGTATTTTCTTTTTTGCTGAGTAAATTTATTATTCTTTTTTTTTTCGTAGCTTTATAAAATTTATCAATCACCTGATGCGCCACCTGTGGATCTTATTCGAAAACCAGCTTTTATTGGTAAAAGAAATGTTATTCAAGAAAAATTTCCTTTAACAATAAATTTTCTTTATTAGAATTATTAATAACACAATTATTTGATCCTGATTCAACATTAAATCCTGAACATCGACCAAAATATATTGGTCTTCTTGCTTATGCATGTAGTGTTGCTGAAACAAATAAAAAAGTAAATCATTTCAACATGAAAACAAAAGCAAAAGAATTCATTTTCTTTTCATAGAGTTCACGAAAAAATACAGTAAATAGTAAAGAAGAATTATCTCAAACAACTATAGCACTTGAAAAAGCTCTTGAAATATGTCTTAGTTCAAAATCAACTGTTGATCTTATTAGTGATTTAAATGAACTCTATAAATGTCTTCGGTAATAGTTGTCAATTCCAAAATAAATGAAATCATTCGATGATTTAATTTTTGATTTTTAGTTTTCCAATAGTAGCTGCATGTGTTCTTCGTTGGATTGAATTTCGTATATTTGATCCAAGTTACTTTAAACTTGATCAAGGTACAACACCTGTTCATTTAATTATTATTGATGAAGTAAATAGAAATGTTTTTTTTTTCTATCTGAATTATAAATCTTCATTGAAACTTTTCTCTTATTTAGATTGTTAGTCTACATTTTTTATTACATCAAAAAGCTTTTGAATTATTAGTTCGTTTTTTTGAAGCAACATTTGCTGAACTTGATACACTTGTTCATGTAAGATAATTTTATTATTTATAATCATACCGAAAGCCAACATAGAGAGAATATTTTGATCCTCATTCCGATAAACGCTCTTTCCGCCTCACTTCACACCTAGAAAAAAGTCTCTGTCCCACTTTCACCTCTGAATCATGCATGAATATATATATATATATATATGTTTGTTTTTAGTTGGAATTCAAAAAGACAATTCTTGATCGTATGGTACATATGCTTAGTTGTTCATATGTACATCCAATATTAGAATATATGAAAAAACGTTGGGAACAACAAGATACAGATGTATCATTAATTCGTCATTTTGTTTTTGAAGTAAATTAAATGATTTAGTTAAAAAATTAATATATGCTTATTGTTTATTTTATAAAGGTTCTTGAAATGATTGGTCCTCCTTATGAACCATCATTTGTACAATTATTTTTACCTTTACTTCAAAAAGAAGCTATTGCCGGTACAATACCATTTCGTACTGAAGAAGAACGAAAATGTGTTAAAGAATTTATTGGTAATTATTTAATAATTAAAATTTATAGATATGTATTTGTTTTTCTTCTGTTTTAGATCATGCATCAACAATTGTTTCATCGAATACATAACGAAAAAGGATTTTATATTGTGCATCTCTTTATTGTTCTCAATGTCATTTTTTCTTTTTTTGTTTTAATGACTTGAGTGTATAGAATCATTTTGTGTTTTTCCTATGAGGAAATAAAAAAAAAAAAAGACAAATAATTCAACAAAAAAAAAACAATAAAATTTTGATATTTATTCATTAAATTCTTGTAGAAAATAGATGCGTTTTTGTCCTAATATATCTACATTGTTCAATGATATACCAAAACTTACTGAACGATATATTCATATTGTTCAACGGTAAAAAATTGAAAAATAAAATCTATTTGTTTTTCTATGTTTTACTAATCTATTGTTGTGTATAGAAAAGATTATCGATTTGATGCTATTGAATGTCAAAATCCATATGATGTATCTGTGAATGATTGGAAAGAGTTAATATCAAATAATAAATCATTAAAATGGATTTTGATTAATAGTTTACCGCTTTATGATCAAACTAGCGTGATACCTTCTTTTAATGATTATCGACAATTGGTTCTTGATTGTACACTTGCCTATGCAAAAGCATTAAATGTCAATAAAGTTCATTTAGTTATGACTGATACTAATAATGATTCTGATCGGTAAGATAACGTGTGAATATCTTTTACACTTCATTGCATATTTTAACATAAAAATGAGTACTTCTTCAAGATATGCTACTTTTATATTCTCACATTATCAAAATTCAACTATATCAGTGATATGGAGACTTGTGACAGTTTCGAATCGAGCGATTTAATTGGTTTGAATCATACAGTTCGTTTGAGAAAAGTTCGATTTCATGATCAGTTGATTTGAATAACTCAAAATTTGTTCCATGATAACAACGTGAGTTTCAAAGTGTAGCCGATAAAGCATGAAATGATCTATGAACAAATCCTATTCAAGAATGTATTAAACAAACTTAGATGGTATACATTTACTTTGTATCTTTTTATTAAATTTTTATTTGTATTCTAAGGGCTTACTCTTGTACTATTCATATATATTTACATAAAATTTATTGTAAACATAAATTCTATATTTTCTTTCGAAAAAGCAATTCGTAAACATTTTGTCGTTGGTAGATAGTATTTGAACTTTTGACTGTATTAAACGATGTTCTGAATAAGTACACTCCTATCAACACTATCTCATTTCAATTAAAAGTCAAATCATAAGTTGTAATACTACAGGTGAAACTATTTACCATCCAGCTCATGAACTGTCATAGAAGAAATTGTATTTGTACTTAAATAGAGCAAGTTTAGATGATCTATCTCTAATAGCTATACTTTTTCCAATTATTAAAGAATGATGTGTCATCCAGACTTTCTCTTCCGAAGGAACGATTAAGAACTCCAAAAGAATTAACATCTATTGTTTCGAGTACAAACACATTGTATATACCATAAAAATCATAAACTCTAAGAGGGCTAACTCGATCTTTGAAGGAACGCGGCTCTCTCGATCCTCAAGCTAGATAAAGCATTGTCAAAGAGGTATGCATGTCTTTTCGACATTCACACTCTCACATACTCATCACATACATTCCTATAAAATGAAAAACTAACACAGTTAACGAATAAGGCTACTGATACTAGTAGACCGCATTCTCGACAAAAAGAACTAGACCTCTACATTCAGTTCTTATATAAGAATTAGTGTACTGAACTGAAAGCTTTCACATGTCTAATCATATGAAGATTTTTTAAAGAAATTATACTACTCATTTGGATCTATTTGTTGAATTTCAAGAATTATCTATTTGAGCAAAAGTCATCAAGATATATAGAGCAAATTCAAGGATCAATGTTCTATCCTGTCATAGATGTAATAAGATTCGAAGACTATGTCATTCGAAGCATCTCTATGTCATTTTACAATTTTCTACTTATTTTTTTAGTCACAAGATTATTGACCTTGTGTATCAAGCAGCTCGATTCTTTCAACCACATCAAATAACATGTCTAATTGAACCACTTTCAACACGATTAAACTATTATCTACGATCATATTCAACAGCGATGGATATTGTTAAAACATCAAAAATCGATAATTTGAAAATTATGCTTGATTCATTTCATTTACAACGATTGCATGGAAATTTAACTGAACGAGTTGAAGTATTCAAATCGAATTTAGCTAATTCTTAAACATTAATCAATATTTTATTTTTCAGGAAATGATACCATTTATTGGACATGTTCAAATTTCACAAACACCTAAACGTAATTGTCCAATGAGTGAAGACGGAGAAGTCAATCATCGATATTTTCTTTCGAAACTTCTTGCACCATTTTATCAAGATTTTATTGGACTTGAATATAATGGTAAGAGAAATGTACAAAGGAATATCTTCATATGTTTTATGCTTTTTTATTTTCAGATTCAAGCAATGCATCATTTGAATGGCTCAATGAATTTTCATCAACAAATTGATTTTGGAAGTGTGCCTTGTTTCTGTAATTTGGACACTAAATAGATATTTGATAAATGTAATTTCGTAAATCAGTTCCTATCATTTTATATTAATGACATATTTTATTGATGAGAATAAAAAGTCTTCATTGCTACCGATGGATTTGAATGATACTCATAGTTAAACAATCTTTAGTCAAAAGAGGAAAATTTTGAATATACGTACATATAGAAAGAAAAAAAAATTCTGACTCCTATTGATTTTCTTTGATTGCCTGCAGTTGTTTGAGGCTGACCGAAAATTTAACAAACATATCGTACAAAGAATTTTCCATACAGATTATTTAAAATACTGATTATGCTTCACTACAAAAAGAACGATTTGTACCTTTACAAAAGAATCTCAAATGATATTTCGAATAAATTTTAATTAAACCATTGTTCCGAAAACGAATCACTAAAACAATATGTTAACTGCATACCCTATTAATAGCTATCATCATTCATAAAAAAGAATTATTTTTATTAATTTGACTTATCTTTTTCTATGAGACTGATAATAATATGATAATACATCATGAAATTGCTCAAGACCATTTTTTAAGATTACTTCCAATTTTTGAAATATTATAAGATTGAATAATTTTCCGCAATAAAACTGACAGCACATCTTATTTCATTCATTCATAAAGTCATCCATAAGAGTTGTTTCAACATTTGGTAAAATTCTAAACTTCGATTATGTATATACAGTAGTGTCAGCAGACGCCATCTATTTTTTACCTTATTAACAATTAATATACATATGACAAGTTACTCTATGATAAGCAATTAATTATTTCGTTTCAAAATTATTTCTTGGTTGAAACTGAATTAGAAACATGACTTCATCAACACATTCATCATCGATTGCTGATCATCTAAACGAATCAACATTTACCAATCATGAAGATGCCAATATTCACCATAAAGTTGTTGACATACGTGGATATGATGAATTTGCAAACCATCTTCGACAACTTAATGATAGACAAATAAAGAAGAAGATTCGATTGAAATCTGTGTTAAAAAGTTCTGTTTATTCAAAGCCACCAATCAAGGAGTCACGAACAAACTTTCGTCATATCTGTTTGAAAAAACAAAAACCAAGAATTCAAAGAAAAACAATGTTGATTAAAAAAATCTTTATTTATGCATGTTAAATTAACCGAACATGAATTACTTGATATAAAATATAATGAAAAAAATATTAGATTTAATTGAAAAACACAACAATTAGAAAATAATCTGTCATATCAGAAACCAATTGAAAATAAAATTTTCTAACACCACCAGTAGAACGATGAATTACTTCATTCAATCTGTATATCATATTAAAATATTTCATGAAGATCTATCATTTTTACAAATTTTAACTATATCTAGTGTTAATGAATTATTTAAACAATAACCGAACATTGAATTGCAAACATAAGAATCTGAAAATAAAGGTTAAACATAAACATCGTTCATTACAGGAACTACATAGAAGTGTGATGTAAGTATTTCATGAACGTTAAATTTTATTTCATCCACACCTTAATGATATGGATTCATTAATGAAAATTCCCATGTTTCACAATGTCAGCGAATCAACGAGCTGCATGATCTGAACATGTTACACTTGTTTATTCCGAACAAATCAACATGAATTGAACGATAAGACTGAACTAGAAAGTCAACAAACTACTTTCGATTATGTTTTATTAGTTCTTAAATGTTAAGGTAAGTTTTTAGTATATGTTATCCTATGTTCGATAAACATCCTGTTTTCGTTAGTCTCTGTGAGCTATCATAGTGCGTTTTTTCAGATTTAAATGAGTTTCATTCAATCTATCCTGTAGTTTTTTTTTTCTTTGTATTATTTCAATGGTTCTATACTTTTGCTGCATTGAATCATAAAATTGAATTAACAAATCTTGCAGTGATCTATCAATAATTTACTATTTTTGGTTCAAATGATAGAAAAAATTTTAGTAGATATTAGAAATCATTCAATAGGCATCTGTAATACAGTAAAATCTTCTAGAAACGGTATTAATAAAACTATAGATCCTCAATAAAGCTTACATTTACTTGCTGGTTTATTCAAAAGTAAAATGAATTATTTTTTATTATATATTTTGTTGTTTATGGGTACTTTTTTTCAGATTGAAAAATGATCATACAAGTATTCAATACATATTCTCATCAACTATGGGTTCTTTTTACTGAGTTAAACAAATGAGAATACAAGTGGATTTATCCTTATTTTTTGTTATTATACTGATATTTCCAATGTTCTTCTTCTCAGATAGAATAATTGCGAAAAGTATATTAATAGATATCTTACAATTTAATAATTTTAAAAACCAAGATTTTTCTACAGCATCTAAACGAATGATAGTTGGGTACTTTGCATATAAGCATAATTTAAGTTTCTTTTCATGAAATACAAATGTGTTTATTATAAACAAAAGATATTTGTTAAATTTGTATTACTCACAAAAACTACTAAACAAGTTTGTTATTTTCACTTGAAATTATTTAATATCTAATAGTTTTTGATTCCATCATTTTACGAAGTTATAGTTCTCTTAAAATGGATGCTAGCTACATTTTAAATTATCTTTTTGATAGAAATAAATTTGTTTATCTTTAACAGAAAGGTAAGTTTTTATAATTTCCTAATATTTATTACACAACTTCATCTGTATTATGTTTCTTTTAATACTACATAAGAGAATTTCATTTTCAGATTTTCACATCATAATAGAGAATAATGTCAGAACGATATGGTTTTTCGTTAACAACATTTAGTCCATCGGGCAAACTTGTCCAAATCGAATATGCTCTTAATGCTGTAAATGCAGGTTCACCAGCAGTAGGTATCAAAGCATTGAATGGAGTTGTATTGGCGACGGAAAAAAAGAGTAAATCATTATTACATGATGATCGTACAATTCACAAGGTTGAACCAATTTGCAAAAATATCGGTCTTGTATACAGTGGTATGGGACCTGATTACAGGTACATATATATATATATATAATTGATCTTCACTTCATCATAGTTAAACTCTTATTGTTAATATTTCATTTCCTCAATGTAGATTCCCCCTACAAAAAACCCGTAAATTAGCTCAAGAATACATGCTTATTTATGAACAAAATGTGCCACCAACACAATTAGTTAAACGAGTAGCTGATGTTATGCAAGAATATACTCAATCTGGGTATGTCTGTCTTTTATGATTTCCATTAAGAAAATATTAATAATTAAAGATAAATTTTTAGTGGTGTACGTCCATTTGGTGTGTCACTACTTATTTGTGGTTACGATTATGATGAAGATCGACCATTTCTCTATCAATGTGATCCATCAGTAAGTCTTTTTCTTTATATTATGAGTAAAAAACTTATACATATTTACATTTTCTAGGGTTCATTTTTTCCATGGAAAGCAACAGCAATCGGACGTAATTATGTCAATGGAAAGACATTTCTCGAAAAACGGTATTATTTAATGTTTCTGTTCTTTACAATTATTGAATGTCATTATGATATATTTAGATATTCGGATCAATTAGCACTTGAAGATGCCGTACATACTGCTATATTGACACTTAAAGAATCATTCGAAGGACAAATGACAGAAGACAATATTGAAATCGGTATTTGTGATAAAGAAGGTTTTCGTCGTTTGACACCTGCTGAAGTCAAAGATTATTTAGCACAAATTGGTTAGAACTTTTCTTTTTAACAGATGGAAGAAAATATTTTCAATAAATAGGTTGATATGAATTGATGAACATGCGTTTTATATTTGTTACGGTTTTTTTTCTTCTGTTTCTATCTTTCTCGTCCTCTTTACAAACATAAAATAAACACGAAGTTCATTTTTTTTTTTTTGATAACTTTATATATTTTTAATCGGATAAAACATGTATTTTGATTTGAATGGCTTCTAATAATATTTGAAATAATGATGCCTATATTTTGTGTAGAACATTCAATGGTACAAGAGACAAAACAGAATAGTATAGATTTTGCATCATTTATTGAATGTCGCAAAGACAGCTAGATAAAATAATTGATGAGAACTTTTAATGGATATGTCATTTTTAATGAGCGCTTGCCTTTATTTCGTTAGTTAATATGACTTTTGACAGGTGTATTTTTCAGCACATTCGATGAAATGAAATGTTTATAGTATTACATTGATGACTCAAATAATCAAATTCAAACATAAGCATCTGTCAAAATATATCATTGATTTTCTTTATTCTATTGAGCGTCTCTAACTTTGATGTTGCGTCTATAGAATACTAGAATCTTGTAATTGTTTTGAAACAAATGAGTCACTTTACATCTCTTGTAAAGTTTTGTGTCATTATGATGAATTGACCATAATTGACTTTTGATTCACCTAGACAAAACAGATATTTCTTTGTCTTATTCAAAAACTGATCAACATAATCACCATTTATATCCATTATGTCAAGTGAAGTAAGATGAAGATATTTAACAATTAAATACGATTAATTATCGTTAGAATTCTGTTTGTCAGGTAATCAAGACTGTCGTTTAGCACTAGAAGCACACTAATTCTTCATGAATAAAAATGACTGAGCAACGTGAATACAAAACGCATATTGAAATTTAATCCTATGAAAAATTTCTCGTCAATTAACATAACTGAAAAGATTTTATTAACAGTCTCGAAATAATTGTCCATGTCAACTGTTTTTTTCGATATCCATTTTTGTTTTTAGTAACAGTTCATACAATATCGTTATTAGATAAATAACTAACTTCGTTGGCTACCACTGATAAATGTAACACATTCAAGGATAAGAAGACAATAAATTAATTCTTCAAAACTTACCCTACGACGAAGAAAAAGTATACCATTTTTATTGTCATATTCCTATAATTTCGACATCAATTAAAATGTTAGGCAGAAGCTGAATCAAAATTGGCCAATACTTCTACAAGATAGAAAGCAAATCAAAATTACATCTGTACTTCTTGGAAAGATATGTTTTTAAAAATTTCTACTAACAATTAAGGAGAAAATGTTACGAGCTGATATATTGAGAAAATAAGTTTGAAAAAGAAGAGAATACATCATATACATTGAGACAAATTTTTTCAATTATTAATGTTAGTCGATTTCATTAGATAAGCTATAATGAGTGTGAAAAGAAGCAATCTTGTTGCTTCTAATATCTATCCATTAAAGCAGTATAAATATAATAGATTTGTCTAAAAATAAATCTGTTTAATTCTATCCCAAATGACTACGTTCATTATCGATAAATCTTACATTCATCAAAATTTAAAAGTTTGTTTGATGTCGAAAATAAAATTTGCTCATTGAACTTTCTCTTCAAATCTTCTCAGTTATGCATAAAATTTGACAATTAAGAAGCCATTAGATGCAAAGCTTTTCTAACCTAATGGCTCTTAAAAGTCCTCGGTATTGTTTATACCGTGATTTTGTTGATGCTTATATGAAAGGTCATTCTGAAATGACACGATGTGTAAGTTTAAAAAAAAATAAAATGAAATTTTATTTAATTATTTTTGTTTCTTTCGTTTCAAGGTATCTCATCAAACTGCACAAACAGAATGGAATCAAATAAAAAAGGATGAAAATTATGTTAAACAAAAAATAACTGAATATCTTGATCGATGGAATAAAGCAGGTCAACCAGAACGTGAACCTTCAAAAAAATCTCCTAAAAAAAAAGCTGGTACACCAAAGAATGATTCTCGTAAACGAAATTTTTCATCCGATGATGATGAACAAAATAGAGATCCAAATTCTATTGAATGCCTAACACCAACATCATCGAAACGTAAATTATCAGTTGAAATTGATGAAGTGGAAAGTGAATTATTAGAAAAAGAAAAATCATGGATTATTCGTTCAGCTGAAAAAGCAGCAAAGAAAAAAGCTCAAACAACAGCTAAATCACCTCAAATTGATAGTGAAAAAGTTAAAACACCAGCACAAGAATCTGTTTTAAAAGATCTTAATGAAATATCACAACGTATTGCAAATTTAATTCAAGTTAAAAGTATGGGTTTATTAACAGCTGAAAATCAAAGAACATTAAAAAAATTAATTGAACAAAAACAAAAACGTACCACTGATCTTAAACGTCTTCAATCAAAACAACGTGCATCAACACGTTATCGTGAAAAACAAAAACGGCAAGTTGAAAAATTATGTGCATCAAATCCTCAAGTAGCTGTTGAACTTTCAAAAGCTTTTCGACCAGCAGCCACAGCAACACGAATACAATTTGAAAGTGATTGTCCTAATCTTGTACAAATTATTGCTGAAATTGCATGTATCGGTGGTGTATCTGATGATAATAAAGGAAAAAGACGATTATCATTGGACAGTCTTAAAGATGCAATTAAAGAACGTGGTTATGAAATTCGAAAATCATCACTTTATTATCGGTAAATAATTAAATTTATATGAATATAAAAAAAAAAGAAAAAAGAATTTTTTATTTAGTCTTATGCCTCAACGTGCTTTATCGCAAGATGGAAAAAAACATGTTATTACGGTACCTGTTCGTCTTCGTAAAATGCAAGGCATTGAACCGTTACCTAAGCATGAAGGTAAGTTGTTAGGGTTGCCGTTTTAATGTTTTTAAAAGAAAATTTCTTTTTTTTCAGATTCTCATTTTACGGCTGCTTCTTGGAGACATATTAAAGATTTAGCTGGTATCTTTGGTAATGATTGTGTTCTCTATTTAACTCAAAATACAAAAGCTAAAGTAAGCATTGGTCGTCCATCAGCTAAAGGACAATCACCACTTATAATGCATCTTGATTATAAAATGAGTTCAATTGATTCACAATTAAATTCAACCGTATCAAATCATCAACTTACATCATGGTAAATATAATATTTGATCATTCTTTTGAATTCAAAATTCTCTTTTTGTTTCCAGTATTTATGCTGCATCAATTATTGATGAAGCAGGTTTAATTACGAATGCTGGTCCAACATATATATCAATTCGATCAGCTAAACATGATCGTTTAACACATGAAAGTCATTCGATTGATTTTGATCGTTTAGTACAATTAAAAGAATTTGAAAAAGTTGCGCATGATCATCTTGGTCGTGCTAAACCAATTGTTGTTATAAATATAGATAGTTGTGATTTAGAAAATAATACACGTTATATAAAAACACTTACGGCAGCTATTGATAAATTTAAAAAATATAATTTAGATGCACTTATTATTATTAATCAAGCATCAGGACAAGCATTATCTAATGTTGTTGAAAGACGTTTATCACCAATGGCACAAGATTTAGCTGGTTTAATATTACCACATGATCATTTTGGTACACATTTAAATGATGCTGGTTTAACACAACATGCTGAATTAGAAAAAGAAAATTTTAAATTAACTGGTGATGTTTTAGCGGAAGTATGGAGTTTGAATGTACTTGATGAGTATCCAGTTGTGGCTGAATATATTAATCCATCGCCAATGATTGATGAACAACTTCAAATGGCTGATAGTGTATTAGCTTTGAATAGTATTATTGATCAGTATGTTATGAAGAAGAGATTAAATTAGAATATAGAATTTTTTTGCTTTCTTCTTCTAGGGTTTCTATTCAAGAAAACGAAGAAAGACCATCCGATCAAATACGTCCAACTCCCACAATATCGACAACAGAAGTCAAAACTGAATGCAATATTGATGAGTAAGTATTCTTGAGCCCAGTAATTCGTCTCTTACTGTATAAGAATACAATGGATATAGATTTATTATATAATCATTGAAAACGAATTTCTACAAGCAGAAGGAGAAAAATAACCCTATCTTGCGGTTCAGAGTGCTGCCTAGCTACAGACTTCTTAACCCGATATCTTCCCTACAACTAATACTAGCTGTAGTTCTGGACAGAAAATCCGCTTGACGTAGAGTTCTTACACTCAATCACTTAAGCTCCCTATACACACTGACTAGCCGTGAGAACAAGCGTATGTTACAACTTAGTCAGCATGCTATCGAACAGACAATCCGAGACAAACAACTATTAATGACTTGTTCAAAATCATTCCATAGCTGATAGTATCGAGGTTTGAACATTGTGCCTAACGTGGCTACTCAGTCATGATTATTACCTCTACAAGAAAAGACGCTATATGCTCGCTTATATATTTCAATTGATTGAGTGTGGAATACTATCGGGAGACGAAATGAATTTCTACATACTTCCAATATATTACATAATCGATATAGCTGAAGTTTAAAGCATAAGATAATGAAAATAAATTCTTATTTTTTATCTTAGATTTTGGTGTGCAACTCATGTTCTTCAAACTCAATATACAATTCAAATAATTCGTTGTAATAATCCATCATGTTGTACACCATGGCGTTCAAATTATATTCAAGTTTTTCCTCATCGTTTTCTTCCACCACCAGTACCATTTGATCGTTCATCACGTGGTGTTAAAATGGCTGATATTGAAACATCATCAGCACTAACAAATCCAGTATCACCATTTTATGGTAACCTTTTTCAACGTATACAATTTCATGGTATTGTTATTAATCGTACACATGATGATCTTCTACCATATGATGCATGTTGTCCATCATTACAAACAAAGATATCATCACGCATATGTTCAATCTGTAAACAATATATTCCATCATCAATACGTTTACGTAATCATTATAAAATTCATCAACAATATACAATCGATTCATTTGATTATATTAATAAAGAAGAAGATATAATTGATGATAATGATTTAAATGATCCATATGATATGCCAATAATATCAATAAATTCAACAAAAAATGGTGTTTATTTATTTTCTAATATGGCTGAATGGTTAAAATCAGATTTTGAAGATGATCCTATTGTTGATACTAAAGTTAAATCAACAGCAGCAACAGCATCAGCTATGATTCGAAAAGAAAAACAAATGGCAGCACAGACAACAACAACAACAACAACAACAATTCAAGAAGAAAACTCAATGACATTTATTTCCAATGATCAAGAAACAACAATTAATGAAATATTTACAGAAGAAGAAATTACAACAATAACTGATAATACACAAACAACAACAGCTCCATATTTAAGGGATACTCAAAGAGAGCAAGGTTATATATTAGATGCTCTGGAAAAATTAGGAATGCTTGATGATGGTGCAAGTTCAATAGGTAATGCACCAAGTCAACAAAGTTGGGATGATCTTGAAGATCTTGTCGACAATATGTAATTTGAATTTTTTTCGGTGCCGTATATATTTGTACACCAAAAGAAAACACAATTTTTCTTTTTTTTTGTAAACGTTTTCTATAGATTAGTCATATACTATGAGTATGTTTTTGTCTCATAGATTCATGTTTATTAATAATTTATTTCTTGTAGTTGCTTTTTTTGTTACTAGTGGTTAAAAAATGCAAAAAAAAGTCATTTTAAAAAATTATCTAGATCTCTGTTTGTGCACATTTTTTTTGGTTTTTGTATGTTTTTCTTGTTTTTTTTTTGTTGTCAATAAAATCTTTTGAAAAAGTTTAATATAAATATTTAGTGATTCGATGTTTTTTTTGTAGTCAGACAATGAAAAAGATTATAATTCAATTATTAACAATTGTGCTTAAATTTGATTTAACAGTCGTCGTGTTCGTTAAAATTTTACTTAGACATAAGTAATAGAATTAATATTCAATTATATAAAAATTACCTTAAGGCTCTTCCCTTCTCGTCTTTTTTGATCACTTATGATTCTAGACAAGGATGCAACCAATCAAACTAAAATTTTACCTAAGTCGACAAATGTTTGAAGACAAAAATTTCAAAGAGGCTTTTGTGGGAGTCATTTTTCCATGGGACTGCGACCTAGTTTCTTGCGACCTTCATCAAGTGTTATCTGATTGGGATGAAAGTGTTTTTGCTGATATTTAAGACTATTTCACAAGTAGTTTTGAGTTTTTTCGGAAAACTCATTTTTTTGTTGTTTTTAATGAGAAAAAGATGTAAAGGCTCGGAATTAAAATCAGCAATAAATCCGAACACAAAGGTCAAAAATGGAAGTGGTTGTTTTTATTTCTAGAGAATACTTCTAAATAATCTGCAGTAAAAACTTTAGCCGGGTCAGACAAAATTAGAGAGGAGCTCTAGTGAATAACATTAATTTGGCCGAAAGAAAAAATGTCAAAGAAAGTTATTTTAAGATCCTCGCCCAACGAGATATGAAGACATTTAATTGCATACAAAAAAGTGAGAGGCGTGTAAGTACACCAACAAGAGACAATAGTGTATGAAAAATACTCAAGCACGAAATTGATGACAAGACAGTAAGTTTCTTTTTTTGGATGACTGCAGACATTCGTATGGGGTGTGCATGTGAATTGCAGTCTTTTCTTCACATTTATTCGACATTCATACTGACATATGACCCTTAGCAGGGTCACTTAATGACATCTGAAACATTTTTGACATTTTTTTCTTCGAAGTGTTTCCTTTTGTTGAGGGAGGGGAGACTGTATGTATGATAAAAAGTTCCGCCCGAACGGTTGTACTATTCTTCAAGAACTGAAGATAGTCCGAAAAAACAGGGTTAGGAGGACCGGTAATAGCAAACGAAAATCAATAATAAATATTTAACAGAGAATTATGCATCTGGTAGAATATTCATTTGAAATGTCAATGAAAAGAAAACATGGCAAACAGAGTACATTTGTCGTATATTTAATGCAGCAAATTTTAGTCAATCTATTTATGGAAAAAAAGTGTTTATTAGGACAAGAATAAACAAAAGAAAAAAAAAAGAATGTCCAATAGTTCTAATCCATAGATGGTCTCACTGGTGAACGGGATGAACGTGGAAGATAATACTTGTGATCATCACCAGGTAAGGATTCTGGTGATGTTAAGTCATCTTCAATAGTTGTTACATGATTTGATGAATATGAAGAAGGTGATGACGTATGTAAATCAATAGCTGAATCTTCTGTGGGTGAACTATTTTTCGGAGAAATTTGTCGTGTATTATTGAACTTATTATTAAGTAAACAAAGTGAATGATTTCGTAATGGCGGTGGTGGTGGAGCAGCGCTTTCACCACGTAGTACCGGTTCAAGAAAAGAAAAATCCATTGGTTCAATAACAGCAAGTGTCGGACAATATTTTTCATTTGAATTAAATAAATCTCTCGTTGGCATTGATTGATGTTGTGTTAATTTTGGTAAGATTGTATTTTCACTTGAAACTGATGCTCGTGGATCAATTTGTTTTAGTCGTGGTGAACTACTTCGATGTCGACGTCGATTTGATGAATTTATATGTGTTGGTGAAATTGCTACAGGTGGCATTATCGGCGGTTTATCGTCTGGTTTTTCTAATACAATTTGAACAAAAGATTCAATTGGATCGTCAACTGTTTTTGTTATGGCTTCAAGAGGTGTCATAAGTTCAAAAGGAATCGTAGGTGTTTTTGGTGCTGATGGAATTCGACCATCATATATAGTTACTCGACGTATTTGTTCATCAAATGATGTATTTGATGATGAAGATTCATCTGAATTTGCTGTTGTCGAACGTAAAAAAAGTGAACCACTAACACCATTTGGAGCAAGTTGTACACTTGGATCTGGTTGACCACAATATGATGCACGACGTGCTGATCCCAGAAGGCATTGAACAGTTGTCGATGCTGTACGCATCATTGAACTTGTTGAATCCAAAAGCATGTTAAGTGAAGAATTTTTTCGTTTTAACATGTACGTTTCATTACTAGAGGATTCACCTGGATGATGGTAATAATGATAACTATATGGCCGACGAAGTGGCAAAGGATAGGGACCATCAGAAAGACGTCGTTGTTCAGTCTAAATAATATCATTTAAGTGTTTTTTATTATTTAATTATTCAATTTAATAGTTTAGTTGTTCGTTTCTTTTTACTGATAGTTTACTCTAAGTAATATTATCTATAGATCATGAATTATGCTTAAAAACTTTTGATTAAATTTTAATAAGAAAACAAAGAACAATTTCCCTATTGAGAAAAATTTATGATTTATCAACTTATTAATACTCATATTCCCAAACCATACAATATTGTTACAGATAAAAGAAACAAAGAAAAACAATAGTTTATTACGATAATCTTTATAATTTTTACTAAAACCTATATTGAAATATACATTTTACTGATTGGATCAAAATTTTATTATATTTTAATCAGTGAAAACATAGTAACGTATATTTCTCTATAAATAAACTCAATCATTATTTCATCTTATATCCTATTTCTTTGACCGACATTCTCGTAAAGAAGATATTTGATCAGATAAAATCCCACTATCTATTTTCTTTTCATGATCTAAAAATTATCTTTTGAAACAAAAATGATGTTTGATAATACATACTGAATAGAATATTTCTAAAATATACTACAGCTGACTAACCTTATTTTCTTCTATTTTGAGATGTAGATATACATCATAACAAAAAAAAAACTAATGAATGCATATCCTTCCTATTTCCTACATGGATTTTTTTTTCTACTTTCCTATGATCTTCTCATAATTACAAAATGTTCTCTATAATGATCTTTAGATGTAAAATTAGAAAAAATATTAAATATAGATATAATTAATATTAAAGACGTATAAGAAACTATTCTAATTAGATATTTATTATTGAGCAAAAAATAGTAACAATTGTGAAAGAAACATTTTTGTTCTCATTAAAATTTAATACTCTTTTATTCTAATAAGTAAAACTTCTTTTTTGTTTTATAACTTCTATATAAGTAAGGTGACTTATAATCTTAGTTATTATAACTACTAGATGCACTTAAATGAGTTGTCATTTAATGACTATTAGGCATGAACATTCCGGATATACATCCAAAACTAATCATTCGAAAATTAATTCCGCTATGAAACTATTAGAACTTTGTCGGTACTTATTTTTCTTTCTTTACATATGTATATATATATATAACAAGTCTGTTATTTTTTTTTGTTCACACATTTTTTTATGGAAGAGTTTTATGATTTTAAAATAAATGATTTGCATATGCTGTGATAATTGTTCGTCAACATATAATTATGATGTCACATTGAAAGTATACTTACATTAAGTTCATTATTATTTTCGGTACTATCTGTATAGCCTATAAAATTGGCAAACGCAGATAATCGTCGTAGATTCATTGTTGTTTTTATTCTTAGTTTGTTTTTGTAACTTGTCGTTGTATTTAGGAACAATTGTAACAAAAGTTTATTTTTTTCAAAAACTATAGATGTATTGTTTAGAAAATGAATGAAGAAGAAGAAATAGATAAGTGGTAGAAATCAAAAAGGAAAAGATCATTTATAGTGTCCTGTCTTTTGTGTTTATGATACTTTTGTTTTCAATGAATAATATACCAATATGACTGTCCCTGCATGGCATTAAATGATAGAAAAGAAGAAGAAGTTCGTGTTACAGAAAAAAGCATAAGACTAAAAGAGAATAGATCTAATCATTTTTTCCATTTCTCTCGTTTCTTTTTCTTGCATTCTCAAATAGTTAATTCTTTCTCTGTCATCATATATCACACAGTTTTGCTTTAAGTGGTAATAGTCAGCATGAAAACATTCAACGATGAAAGAAACTATAAGTAACGATTCTATTATGTATAGACATATTTTGATCTTGCTATGACTTTTATATTTTTGTTGTCTTCATCACTTCAATAATTCTATCAAATGCCACATTGTTATTATTTTATTTTTCATATTAGAAGATGTTTCTAATGTCCTAAAGTTCTTTTTTTTTTGATTGTTGAAAAGAAAAACAAAAACTTAATAGCAAATTGTGATGGCGCAAATTATCACAATTGAACAGTCAACTAAAGCAAAAATATGCTGTCATCCGTGCATAAGTGTATGTCACTCACAAATTCTGTTTTCTTTTTGGAAGTAGACCGTCAATAGTTCACAAAAGAATAAAAAAATAGCGCTTTTCTTTGAGTGTATAAGAACTGTCAGACACACCCACACCCACACATACATATATATATATAACACCAACTTACAACTTTTGAACCGGAAAGACAAAGCTGCTTCGTTTTCCTCTTTCCTTTGATCTAAAGCTAATCGATTTGTAACAACAATAGCAATGAGTATAGAAATAAATTTTCTCTTTTCCTTCTTTGGGCACATACATAATTATATGTATATGCTGTCCCATCGTCATCTATGCAGATTAGCGATCTGGTGCCGCAGCCCCTTTATTATACGTAGAATATGTTTGTACTCATAGAATTCTATTCTAGTCTATTCATTTTGTTTTCTTATGTTGATTAAAAATATTCGCATCATTGTGTTAGGTTTTATCTATGCAGTTCTCATGCAAATGTACTATGACATGGAACATTGCTGTTCTATCAAAATAGTCAGATACTTTACTGTATGGCACTATTTATTTTCTGCTCAATCAATCATTACTTTCTCTATTCATTCGATATTTTGCTCATGGGAAGCATCAAGAGATAATAACATCACAAAATTACTTTGAGATTAGTTACATGATAGAATGTATGAAGATATATATATATATGAAATATTCTTCCTGTTCATCTCAATTTACTTGCCTGATTGTTTGTTTTGCTTTTCTTTGAATATCAATTAGATTCATAGTAAAAATAAAACACGAATCTTAACAAACAGCTAGTATGATTGTAATAACGTGCGAAATGTCTAGCGTGTTTTATATTCAATATTACAAAAAAAAAACGAACGTCATCAAAGCCAATGTAAATAAATATATATATAATATGCACGTTTCAACCGATTGAGTTTTCTTTTCTTTTTTAGTATATTTGTCATATTAAATTAACAAGATGACAATGTTAGGTTAATTAAATTTTTTATATATCATCTTTTTTCTTTCATTCTGGTATACATAGAAAGAATATTGAAAAATTTATTAAATAGAATGCTATTTAATCAAACAAAGATATATGGTTCATAGAAAATTATAATATATTCACATTGAAATTGTGTTTTATGAGGTCTATTCTGTACTTCTTTCGTAAATCTTTTCATTCTTTATCCGGGACATTTCTATTCTAGACATTCATATTTTAATATCCGATTAGCTTAAATGAATTCCTAGATAAAAATGGCAGAAAAACCTTCTTCTTTCTTTACTTTTATATTCTACTTAAGATGATGAGTGTCAGTGAACTCGAATCTGTTAACTTTCAATGCATCTTTTTTTTTTAATATATATTTATATAAACGAATCTAATAAGATTATTATCTAGAGAAGTCAAAAACAAAACTAAGAAAAGTACATCTGACATTTTTTTCTCCATAATGATTTGCTTATTTTTTTGTTCGATTCTCATCCGGTTTCCTTCCTATAGTATTCTTTTTGTTTTTATTCTTCTTTAAACATTATCATTATTTTTTGACCTCTAGCTGTTTCATCAAGGGCTATTAGCAGGCAGATGTAGAAAATCTGAATGAAAAAGTGATTAACATTAATGCATACCTGACTGTCAAAATACAAAGCAACATTAGGTTCTGATTGATAGCGCGAATACGGGCACGGAGGTACAAGTAAATGATCATAACTATATGCAGGACATAGATATTGATTGTTATTATTATTATTGTTGTTGTTGTTGTTGTTCGGTGGTATTAATGATATGCCACTATTTGGAAACATTGTCGAATAATTGTGTTGTCACTTGAAGATGAGCATATACACACGAGTCATGAATGTTTTCTGTTTCGTCTTATAAGAAAGGATGATATTGAACATAAGGTTTCATTCGAATGTTTCTATAAAGCATAACAACAAAGGATGTAAATAATATTAATTAAGTAAAAAGAAAGAAAATAAATACAACATGCCAAGCTACCTACAGTCAGCTTATAGCTGAATATTTTTATCTACGTCTAACATTATATCTTCTCCTATTTTTTTCTTACTTTGAGCATGTTCTTTTTTTTCTCTTTGCTTTAACTAGTTCTATATATCACGCATGTGATGTCATTTTTTTCTCCTCAGATATGAACAGTAAATCACGTTCCTATTCATCGTATAAACTTTTACTAATGACTTTTGATGCGTCATTTAAAAAATATCTAAAGAATACACAAGAGAGCGTTTCCTTCAGATTAAGGTTCTTACTATTCTAGAGAATGATGAAATCATCAATTTCTATTCAGTTTCATACTCATTATATTACTATCCTCATTTTTTTTCTGTCTATCTTATCATACAATTGTGCAACCAACTAAGACAAGTAGTTCATGAGTGCCTCGTTTGTCTTTTCTTTTGATACAAGAACCGGAAATTACGAAACGGATGGAGCAAAAAAGAGGAAAGAAAATAATATCTAGTGTTCTTCTTTTCTGACATACTGTCCGTGTGATGCATAATCGTCTTTGATCAAGTAACAAATAACACCTCTCGAATATCTCGTTATTGGACTCTATAGCATTCGTTTATACTTCAAGGATGTTGTTGTTCAGAATATTCTCTATCATATAAGTAATGATAATGGCAAAGCTCAATAATAGTGCAATTTGGCGAAGTTACTTTTAATCAATGGATTATGATGAGCTGTTCGAAAAGACTAATATCTAGACTAGAGTAGCATAAAAAAAAAAAGAAAAACAATACATTAGGTCATGCAAATAGAAGAAAAATCAACAAATCGTCATGATGTCTCTTTTCTTTTACTCTTCTATGAACTTCACTGACGACAAATAAAAAAAACCTAGGGAAAAAAGAAAAAAAAAACAAAACTAGGTAACGAGTGCATTTTTAATTAGTGTTAAACATCAATCTGAATATGAGCTGAAAGGCAAAAATGACGATTCATTGAATATGCATGCTTCAGGTTGAAATGAACAACATGTCAAATTTTTTATAATGATTACTTCTCTTTACCATTATTGTTTTAATCTAATATTTGTAAAAAAAATAAATCTTTGATTACTTAACTTCGATAGTTTTAGTCCTATAGAATAAGAATTCGTTGAGAAAAAATATATGATTGATATTTCTTCCAATTTCGATGTGGAACCAAAAATGCTTTTTTTCTATTTTTAATAACATCAATTATTATTAAGTAAGCTCGATTTTCCCGATTCTATTCGTACTGTTATAAGCTTTAAAGATAAACTCCTACTCAAAATGCACAGAAAAAATATCTATAGCAACCAGTTCATTCATTAATGGTAGATGTTATTGAAAAAGTAATAAAACTCAGTAAAAAAGAAAAAAAGAAAATATTCAGTTTTGGCTCTATTGCCATATGAGATTATGAAATGTGTTAATACTATTTCTGGAAGTCACATATATATTTTCGAAGAAAGTAGTGAGTGTAAGTTTTAAGTCGAAGTTTTATGACTCCGTCTCAGATCTTAGCAAACAAGGACAACATGCGTCACACTACTTTCTCGAAGTTCCTTAGTAACAGAAAAAAGACGCTGAACGAAAGGACATCGACTGTTATAACATATTCCAAAGCTATCGTTGAAATTTGAATGACTAGAATATGTCTGTGAATATTGTAAATAATGCAGTTTCTGATTTTTATCCCGATAAAACTTTTTACTTAAGATGTCAACGATAATAAGTAATGATGCATTGATTTGCTATAGTCGTCATATGATCGATATAAAAAACATGAATGGATGAAGTTATAACTTTGAAAAATAATCAAAACTATTCGAGATATATAATAGTACGCTGCAACCTACTGTTCATATAATGGATATGTATAACAAGTTTATTTGTCATTTAAATCAATGGCTAAAAATAGCAATAAAAGGAACGAAGCCCGAAAAAAGAAAAATCACGAGTGAATAGAGCAATCAAGCAAACAAAAAGTAGAGCACCAGTAAAAAAAAAAAAAAGAAAAAAGTTTGTTAGTGCAGCTCTGTTAAGACTGAAATATGGAACTCACGTGTGTTCTTTTACCTCATTATACTTATAGAAAATATGTAACGTGAAAAATCTCTCACAAACTATAATTGTTTTCCAAGGATAATTGATTAGCTGAGAGAAGTAATCCCTCTTATTTGTTTCCGCATTTCGAACAGAAATTTGTTCTATTTTTTACTAGCACTCTATTTTTTGTTTGCGATGTTGCTATTCATTCGTTATTTTCCTTTTGCGTAGTCTTTTTTTCTTATTGTTATTCTAACCATTGATCTAACCGGCAAATTAGCCTGTTTTACATATGCATTATATCTATAGTAGATCTCAAAGCACAATTATATATCTCGACTAGTTCATAAGCATTGATATTGATTATTTCCTTGTGTCATAACTTAATCAGTAGACGCTTTTTATGTTAATCATTATGACGACTGTGGTAAATCAGTGCATCACACTACCCATAAGCCTTGACATCTTGATTATGAATTTTTATCTGCGCAAAAATAAAACAACTGCGCTATTGAAAACATTGGCAAGCATATTCTAGTCATTCAAATTTCAATAAAAGTTTTAAAATGTTTTAGAATAATTGAAATCGTGTGATTAGCGCCTTTTCATTAATAAGGAACTCTAGGAAAAGATTCTGACGTCCATTTTTCTCGGTTGCTAAGGTTTGAAGGATAGCCATAAAATTTGTGTTCGAAATACAGAAATTAATAAAAGTTTTTTTTTCTTGACGATCGATTATCCTTGAAAAACAATTATTGTTTTGTTAAAGATTTTTCACTTGACGCATTTTCTATTCGTATAATAAGGTTAAAGTGCATATGTTAATTGCACAATTCAGCTCTAAATAGCACTGCAATGGCAAGTTTTTATCAATGCATTCTTATTTTATAAGACTAAACGTTTCATCAAAAAGAACAAAAACCAATATCTCATTTATTTTAACTAAAATTATATAGTCGAACAATTGTTGATGATTTTAAAAGTTTCTATAACATTATTGATATCAACTGTTAATCATATCAAATTCCTAATTATGTTTACTTAAATTACATTTTAGACAGACTAAGTCTGAAAAATATTGAATTAATATATTAAAAATAAAAGACATTCTCTTGAATATAGAAAATAATAATAAAAATAAAAATAAAAATAATATTAATAATAACTATGAAGAAAGTTTTACACATGGACGATTTAAACGATCATATTCAGCTTTTATTTTATTCCATTGACTTAAAAGTTCTGCTAATGATTTAAAATTTGGTCGCTGATTTGGTTCATAACATAAACAAGGAAGAATTAATCGATTATAAAATTGATTTGAACATTTCAAAGGTTTCTTATGAACATATCCATTAACTACAAGTGCTCGTATTGAAGAAAATTCTTTTTCACCTGGATAAGGATCATCACCTTTTAACCAAATTTCAATTAATACAATCCCAAATGACCAAACATCAGATTTTATTGAAAAAATAGTTTCATTATTAAGTACTTCTGGAGCTGTCCAACGAATAGGTACTTTTCTTGAATAGACTTCTTTACGTTGTGCAAAATCATCTTTATTAACAAGTGCTGATAAACCAAAATCAGCTATTTTAATTCTATTTCCATCAGCACTCATTAAAAGATTTCTACAAGACAGATCACGATGTACACGTGATCTTTGTTCAAGATATGACATTCCACGACATATATCATATGCAAACGAAATTGTGACTTTTTCATCAGGTACATCTGCACAAGATTTCAGCCATTTTTTTAAATCTCCACTTTTCATTAATTCTGTTACAATTAATGCTTCATTTGTTAGAGAATCTCGTGCAACACCATACAATGCAACAATATAATTATTTCTTAATGTTTTCATTGTTTCAATCTCACGAATAAAACTATCTGTTGTTGATTTATCATGTCGTAATAGACGTAACTTTTTAACTGCAACTGGTATTTTTCGCTCACCATTTTGCCATAATGCACGCCATACTTCTCCAAATTCACCTTCACCTATGCGATATTCCAATGTTAAATGACGTCTTGGAATATGCCATAGATCTTCTTCAAATTCAATTCGAAATGGTAATATTATTGATAAAGGTATAGCTTTCAGAACATTTTGATCATGAATAAGTTCTTGAAATGATGTAAATGATATATTTTTTAATTTTGATTCTTGTGCAAAATAAAAACAACGATTTAATGTATCAAGACATATTAAATAATGCCAATCTTCAGCATTTCTTCGATTCGATATTTGTGCTACGCTCAAAACAAATGCATTAGATTCCGTATTACTTCGACGTATAAGATAAGCACCAGGTACATTATATTGAAATAAACATCGTTGTATAACACCTCGATCAGCGCTACTTAAACGTAATGGTGTTTCAGGATCAAGTCGCAAACGTTTTCTATGTATTGTATGTTCAGTATTTGTACGTAAATGAATAACACGTAAATATTCTTCGTCAATTTTCTCAATCAATTCGAATTCATCACCTTCATCATAAAAAAATTGTTCGTTGAGAGTTTTAGTACAAAGAGCTATATAGATTGGTTTGTATAATTGTACATATTTAGTTTTTTTATTGTTTATTGATGTCAAATTTGGTGCTGATCGAGCTGATGCATATTTAGTATCCTTTAGTATTTTAGGTGCTTTTGATGGTAAAACAAATCGAGTACCATTAGTAACTTTATCAGACGCAAATCGAGTTGGGAATGAGACTAATGAATGACGTTTACGAATATTTTGTTCGGACAACATAGAACTATCTTGACCCATTGATGAATCTAAAACAAACCAAAAAACCAGAAAAGTTTATTTTAATAAAAAAAAAATGATCTGTGCATGTGGTTTTTACTTTTTTAGATTAAGAAAACTTTTATACAATGGAATTGAAGATAAACAATTGATAAGAACTGAAAAAAGAGGTCCCTTCTAAATAAATACTATGTCGCTTGCAAATATATTTTAGATACCCTCGTTTTTATCATTCTATTATGTATATAATAACTCATTAAAATAAATGAAGATAGTTGCCGAGGACTACGAATAAATAGCTTTATTGAAATGTTTATTATAAAAAATTAAAAAATACTAATAAATAAATCATCGAATCGTGAAGGAAGTTATGTTTTTTCAGTGTTTCTGTTTCAATTAATTGTAATAAAATGAGTCGTATATGGACCATTTCATGCAGAACAGTATATACCCATATTCCATTTGATTTCGACTTTTTACTCGGACTATTTTTCAGAATAAATTATTTTAACATAGACATATGTAAAAATGTTGACTTTTTCAGTTGACCTTTAATTAAAATAAGTTAATTAATCAATCAATTAAAAATTGATTAACGAATATCTCTCTAATCGTATGAGAAAAAAATTCGGAAAACTTGGGAATAGACTACACTATAGAGTCTACAGTATAAACTGCATCATGACGAAATTTTCAGCAAGATTCGACTCTAATAAGTTTCTTCTAACAAAAACGACTTTGATTGTATATTCGTATTCCATCACGTCGTTAACTCTAGTTTTTTTTCTGATAGCTCCTCTGAACAAAGGTATCTAGAGTAACTTAACATACGATGTAACATGTATTTCATAACCGATGATCCATATAAATTACAAAATAATCCAAACAAAGATTAAAACCTAAGTATTTCATAATATTAGATCTTGTTGTATCAGTAAAGCTTGTATTTGAATTCAATCAAAATTTTCTATTTCTATTGGTCTTGAGATTTAAAGATTATAAAGAAATTCTTTTTTTAAAGAAAGTAATAGGTAAAAAACATTCAACTTACGTTTGAAACAATGAAATTTACTATCCGTTACTCTTAAAAAAGAAAACTGATTGGCTTGAATAACTTTTTATTAAAAGTTTTATTCATAACAAAAAAAAAAAACAAGCAAAAGCCGTTAACATATTTTCAGATCTTTTTATAAACTTTTTTATTTTCCATAGTCATTTCTTGGAATTTATAATGTAACACAATAACATTTGAAATCAATGTTTCAATTGAATCTTTTTTTCTAAGTTAAGTATACCATCAAGTTCTTTATTTATTCTTATCACATATTCTTGTTAAAATGGATTTTTTGATGATTAAATTGATAGATATTAATAAAAATAAAAAATAAAATATTAATTACAATATACATTCGCAGTACTGAAATATCAAATCTAAGTAGTAGTTTCAAATGTATCTTTTTAATGGAAAAAACGATAAGGTATATTGAATAAAATAATAAATGCTAATAGAACGAGAACATGTTTACTTTTTATAAATTCATCACGAAATATTTGAAAACGATTATGACAAGTATGAATATAAAACAATAGATCATCCTATGTTAATACATGAAATATGAAATAATATAATGTAACATATACATAAAACTTTATCAATAATTTCTAGTAATAATGAGTACATCAAAGCACATGAATATAAATTTGATTCTTTTTCATCTATTAATAGTCAGTCATTGCATCACTATTTCATAAAAATGTGAAAGAATAACTCATACAATATTTATATTGATGACGCAGTAGGAAACCATCTTGAATGATAGAAGTTTAAATTGAAAAGTTCTACAAAAACGAGTTTAATAGCTAATCATGTAAATGATAGCACAGTTGTATGATCCATTGGAATAAAACAACACTGGTCTCTATTATATGACATGCAATAAAATGATAAGAAGAAAAACTTGAATGCATTTATTGAATTTTATACGACATTATTAATATTCAAAATTACATATCCATTATTATAATTAAACCTATACAACAATAAAGTCTTTCAAAAAAAATATCATAATTAATTAAATTTATATTTTTTAACAAAAAGAAGCGTTTGTTAAATACATATGTATATTATCAATGATTGCTTCAGTAATAAAAAAGCTAAGTCGAATGTACAGATAGATGTTGATAGTCTCAGGCGTAAAATTATTCGAAAATGTTGAAAACTCGATGAGTTAGTGACATTTACATCATGGATATTGATATGTATCATTTAATAAATGTCTACAACCGTTTACAAACAAAAATTTACACATGGCATTCTGTTCGAACTTTTCGCTTGATGAAACATTATCAAATACGCAATAGAAATTCGACGAATAATATTTACTAAAAAAATGTTTTTTTTTATGACCATTTTGTAAAATTATTCTATCCAAAAATGCAAAAATCTAAAAAATATGAATTAATTTTAAATAAATATGCATAATTTAAACAAAGCAACGTCACGCAAACTTATATCGATTTTATCGGTTATTTTATTGATGAAAGGAAGTAAGCGGTCTTTCTTAGTGTTAAACAGATAAAGATGAAATATTGTATAATTTTGTTTCAATTCTATTATACAGATATTGATAGAGGAAGGACTTTCAAATTAGGTGATATACAATTTTTCTAGAATACATTTTCAATACTTTACTATACAGCAAATAACATGAATACATCTCTTTATAAGAAATCTATATTCATTATCTGGCTTAGTAAAATTAAAAATACAAATAACTTTATTTGACAATGTCTAAAATATCAACAATAAAAACTAAGACAAAGTCCGATTTATTTGAGATAATATTTTATTTCTACATTCCATCGAAATAATAATGATCAATAAAAATATGAATAAATTGTCATGCAATGTATACTTGATTCTCATAATGAGATTTAATTATGAAAATCTTCTCTCCCCGCATGGTTTGTACGGGTTTTGATCTGTCTTTTTTTTTATCCATAAAATCAAATCCTTTTCTTTTTTATTCTATAGATTCAATAAATATTATAACAGAATAAGAAAATAGAAAATATATGACACAAGATTAATAATTTTGTTATTTAAATAGGCAAGCGAAAATTCAACCAATATAATAAATATATAATTTCACGAACAGATTTATTAATAATACGATAAAATTTATATATAACTATAATATTAATATTTTATTGACTATTAACTATTAACTATTTAGACATTGCCAATTGACCTCAACTATGGTAAAATTTATATTTATTTGATTGTAGAAATAAATTATATTAAGTTCTCTCTAAGGATGTAAAAATTTATGGAAAGACTGAATGACACCTTTTCATTAACAATAATTTATGTATCTTAATATCAAGATCTTTGTTTTTTTTTCATCGATTTTTGACTATTCACTTGTAAAATATATTTTCAAACGAATTGTTTATTTTATAAGCAAAGAAAAAGAAGAATTAGATTTAATTTTAAAACATAAACATAAAACAGAAACTGATATTTTTGTGAATCATTTCATAAATGTCAATCGTGCATTCTTTGAACAACACCTTGAAAATGGGATTAAATATATTTTTTTCTTTACGCCAAAAAAATAAAATTATACTTAACATAGGTTTGACTTCATTCTATAAATATTTTTAAGATGATTTGTAAGAAATTTAATATTTATTTCTATATTAAAGACAAGATAAATTTCTTTTGTTTTTCTGGGAAGAAAAATAATTAAATATATTGACGTATCTCGTTAATCATATTATTGTCTTTAAAAAGTCAAAGAAAAAAGAAACCGAAGTCATTAGATATTTAACAACAACTAGATTCCGACAGTTTGACATTTTTTATCATACTTTCTCTTTCTGTCAAATATCTTTATAGAATTCTCTTTTCACCTCCATTTCTATTAACCAAATGCGATAGAGCAGGAAGTACAATAGATCGCCCCCCAACAAGTAATAGTCATTCATCAAAATAAACCATATTGTCTACAAAATGAGCATCTACAATAAAGTAATAATAAACATCTATGCTTTTTATGTTTCAAAAAGAAAAAATTCGATATTTTTCATCTTTGACATGAGTTAAACTAATGCTTTTACTGTGGTGTGTACGTGTGATTGTTGTATTTTCTCCATCAATTTTTTTTTCATTTATATTTACTTAAAATATACATGAAAGAAAAAAAGAATAAATCAAGAATTGCTAAATTTTTATGTACATCTGATGTTATTTATATTATTTGTTTTATTTCCATAGATTGATAGATCTAATTTAGAATGGTATAAAATAGAACATATTTCGAATACATATATATGCTTTTCTTTTTTTTTTCTCTTTCTTTTTCTTGATTCAAAACTTTGAGAAGTACATATTCGAAAACAAATACAAAAAAAGACTTCAAATCAATTTTTTTCTTTCCGTCCTTTCTTTATTTCACTCTCTCAACGGACAATGGTTTTATTGGAAGGTGAATAGTTAGAGGCGAAGGTGAAATAAGGAACATCAAAAAAAAAATAGAGCGAAAAAAATAGAATTCAGAAGGTTGCTTGCTCATAACACTACTCTTCATTCAATCAGTACGTGATTGACGGAAATTGGAGTGTCTTGTCATCACAAGCATATATACGCGAAGAAACATACGTGATAGGTAATAATATATTATAATTGTATTGTAGTCATTGAGAACTTTATAAAAGATTTGAGTTGAAACTATTTTATTGAAAATAGAAGAATATATTTTTATCTTTTTGTATTAGCGGAGATAACTGTTATGTTATAGAATATCTTTTGTTGAAATGTACGATTGTATAAGAATATTAAAATTATTTATTATTGCCTAGTTTTCGTCATATTTCTTTTCTTATAACACAAAATCAATTTTGTTCGGCATAAAATATTTTATTGCATATTTCAAAAAAAAAATAGCATGAAACTTAATAAATTCAATGAAGTCGACGCGATGTATATATAGCACTAGTGTTTTCGTCTGGAGAAATTTTTTTTTAGTTTAAATAAAGTACACAAAAAACATGAGTTCATGGAAGTCTTATCAGTGTCACACATAAAAAGAAGTCTTTCATTGACGTCAACAATAGAACTTGAATACTTAGATTTCTTTTTTTCTCTCTCTCTTATTTCTCTTCTCTCTCTCTCTCTCTCTCTCTTTTTTACAACATCATCTGTCGTTGATGTGATCCTTATGGTATCTCATGCAATGTTTTCTAAAAGAAACGTTCAGTTTTCCTCTTTCTTTTTAATATTCATATTCATTTAACGGATAGCAACACGTTGTCTCACCTTTAGAACACCTTCTGTAAGAACGACGATGATGTTGATGATGACGACTATGTCACGATAGAAAGAGAACAGGAAATTTCGATTCCATCTATGGTGTCGTTACATTTATATACTGCCCTCCTTTCAGTAGAGGGAATATATATATATATATATGGGAAATACCATTATTTCCCTCAGATGATCATAGAAATTAAACCACATGCATGTTATGATGATTCTATGAAATAAAATCATTGATTCGTATTTTATTTATTCTAATTCATAGATTTTCTTTTATTTATTCACTTTTATATTTAGTTTAAACTTCGTCGAAAAATGACATCCAGATCATCATTTCAAATTCATTCATTACGTGCATCAAGCCGTGCAGCAGAATCACCACCATTAAATAATCATAAAACTACTGATAGTGAAACTGTTTTAGTAGCTAAAAAATTTAGTTGTGTTAGTTTGGCTGAACGTGAAGAACGACAACAAGCACTTGATCGTTTAGAAATTCTTAAAACAGTAAGAAAATATTACATTTTCTCTATAATTATTAATTGAATATAGTAATAGACAGCGACACAAACAGAAAAAAATTAAAGGAAATCAAACGTTTTTTTGCCGTGTGATTTTCATATTCTTCTTTGAAAAGTTTATTTATATACATGACATACATATTTTTTATACTTCAATAATTTTTTCAGTGTCATTTTTATATAAAGGGAACGTGACTTTTCTTTTGCATAATAGCAGAAAAAGTCCTTTTTTCTTGAAGAACATTTTATATCAAATAGATAATTGGTCGAGTTACAGTGAATTGTTCGGTTAGAAGTAAATTCATAATGTATAGATTGAACAAAAGCTACTTTTATTTTTTATTTATTTATTTTTTTGCATAAGCCAAATCTTAACAACAACATTTTTAAATTTTCAAACGATCATATTCATATTTTGATTGATGTTTTCTTTCATTTAAATATTTTATAATAAATGTCAAATGCAGAAAAAATTAAGTTTGTCCTTCAAAAACATTGAATGGTTCTCTATACAATCGAAATACCTCCTAACGTTACTAGGACACTAATTGGAATATATATTAGCAGCTTTGTGATAACAAAGAGATGTAGACTTTTTTTAAATTAACGTTAACCATCTGTTTGAAAAGATATATCTTCAAAGATAAATATCAGCTGTCATATGTTATGAAGAATTGAATACTTTTATTATATCTTTAAAAAAAACTATTAGTCGACTTGTGTAATGGATGAAGACAGGATGTGTCTTATTGAGTAAATTACTAGGTTTTGGTTATTAAAAACAATTAGTTATGGATTTAAATTTGTTAAAACAAGGAAAACTATGTCATTCGAAGATTTCTTCATTGTGTAATTGATGAGAATCGTACTGAGTAACTTTTTAATCTGTAGTATTTTAATGACTAGCAATTATAGACACGTAATTAGTAACCTGTTTAGAGATACTAATTTTATCGCCTCCGTATTAGGCACGCAATAAGAATTTCCTCTTTTTTGTTCTTTCTATTTCCGTACGTAGAATATTCTCAAAATATAGGATGTGTCAGAGTGTTGTCGAAACTTCAGATTTATGAAGCAATTGATTGTCTACAAGATAAAAGACGTTCGTACGATTTGTATGACTTATAGTTGCAATTTCTTAGTTGAAATTCTCTACAAAACTTCAATTAAAGCTCAATTGTAAAAATTTTACCTGTCTTATCTGGTAGAAGATAATATACCCTACAATTCTACACTTAAAAAAGCACGTCTATGAGTGTTTCTCTTCAGTGCGTTCCGCTAATCTTAAGAACAAGAACAAGAAGAAGAAGAAGAAGAAGAAGAAGAAGAAGAAAACTGAATTTTCACTCTCGATGCATGTCAACCTGAAATAATTATTTTAATTGAGATTTTACTCTATATGTCCTTATAGAAAAAAATTCTTTAGTCAGGCTCAACTTTTTATCTTAGTTTATGTAATGTTTATATACTCGAGATTTCATTTTATTTTGCATAATTGATGAGGGAGTTGAATATTATTAACCGAAAAAATAATAATGAAGAATTCGATTTATTTTTAGGTGGGTACTGGTTCATATGGTCGTGTAGTTGTTGTTCGAGATCGTGAAACATCTAATTATTATGCATTAAAAATATTTACTATTAATCATGTTGTACAATCACGTCAAGTAAAATATATTATTAAATATATATATAGATAAAATGATTGATTTTATTTTTAGACTGAACATGTCAAAAGTGAAAAAGAAATTTTATCAGTTATCAAGCATCCATTTATAATTCGTTTATATTGGACACATCATTCCGAACAATTTCTTTATATGCTTCTGGATTATGTACCTGGTGGGGAATTATTTAGTTACATGAGAAAAAAAGGAACATTTGATATTAAATCATCCTTATTTTATATAAGTGAAATAACACTTGCATTTGAATATCTCCATTCATTACAAATTGTTTATCGTAAGTTTCGTCTTTTTTTCTAAAATAAGAACTTTTTTAATTTTATTATTAAAAAACAAATAGGTGACCTGAAGCCTGAAAATATTCTACTTGATGGTGAAGGTCACGTTAAACTTGTGGATTTTGGTAAGGAAGAAAAAAAAGCTTATAATAGTAAAACTCATTATCATATGTATGTATTTTTTTTTATTACATAGGTTTTGCAAAGAAAATCTTAAATAAAACATTCACTACATGTGGTACACCAGATTATCTAAGTCCAGAATTATTCAAAGGTACAGGACATAATAAAAGTACTGATTGGTGGAGTTTAGGTATTTTATTATTTGAAATGTTGAGTGGAGGTAAGAAAATAGAGGAGAAAAAAAGAGAATTATTTTGAAATATTGTTGTTGTTTTTTCGAAATTCTTAGTAACACCTTTTAATCCAAATCAAAATGAAAGTGAAATTCCCACTCGTGTATTAGCTGGTCGAATAACATGGCCACGTACAATAGATGAAACATCAAAAGCTTTTATTAAAAAATTATTAATTCAAAATCCCGACAAACGTCTTGGTGCTGGTAGAAATGGTTCCCGTGAAGTAAAAGAACAATCATTTTTTGCATCAGTTAAATGGGATGATGTTTGTGCAAGAAAATTAAAACCACCTATTGTACCTGCTGTTCAACATCCGGGTGACACATCATGTTTTGATCAATATAAAGAAGATTGGCGATCAGCACCATTTGCATCCGATAAAGAACTTGAATTATTTGTCGATTTTTAAAGAATAGAAAAAAAAATGTATTTTTATTTTATTTTATTTTATTTTATTTTATTTTTATGTATGTATATGCAAAGCCAGTGAATAAACAAAAAAGAAAATATATATATATAAGGGGTGTCCCAAAACTTTTGAAGCAATGTTAAAATTCATTGTTCTCTTATTCAACAAAAAAGCAAACCCTGTGACACTTTATTGTACCAACTTATGAAGGAAATCCTCCAAATAATAAATTGCTTTTGAGGCGAGATCATGTGCATTAAGTAGATTCAAATGAACTATGTATATCCTGAAAAGAGTTAGTACTCTTGACTCCTTGCTACTGAGATGCGACACTTATAGTATCTCCTAAATGAATACCTTCGTTTCCCTCACAAAGAACATAAGAAAAACTTATTTTTAAATAAGAATATCGAATCTGTCGGCAATGTAAAAGACACGCTATTTTCATAATTGTGTTTAAGGATTGAAACAGTGATAAGAGCTGAAACTTTCATAAGGAACTATTTTCGCTAAGGCCTGCTTCTATGCTCCGTAAGAAGGTACAATAAAGTTTCAAAGAGTTTGTTTTTGTTAAATGCGAAAACGATGAATTAAAAAATTCCATTTATTGAATTTTTCAGTTAGAAATGAAATTTAACTTTGTTTTTTTAACGAAGTTCTCTTTGATGTTATTGATGTTTGAGCTTTTTCATTTAAACGTTTGATACCATTTGCTGTTTGAGCATACCAATTCTATTAACTTAATATAATTAAATAGAATATATCTATTTTATTTTTTACTTTAATTTTATTTTCCTCATCGATAAAAACAGGAATTTTTGTACCGAGTATAGAAATAAAATCAATGGCTGTACAGATCTTATTAGAATATTTATTTTCATGTTTAATATTAATAACTTTATCAATTGTTTCAAGAATTTGTCCAACTGTGTAACCATCTGATATTGATGCTAGAATACTTAACTCAAGATCATTAATATTCATATTATATTTTTCAATTAAAACTTCATAGAAAATTTCTATAAACAATGCAAAAGAAACAATGCTTGTTTTCCTCATTGATAAGTTTGATTTTTACTTCGTCGTGATCCATAATTTGGTCGTGGAAATAGAATAATATGTTCATAGATTTGTAATAATTGTTTTATTCGAGCACGATATGGTTGAGATGACATACCAATAAACATAATTCGTTGACCAGGTTTCATTTTTTTAATAAATTTACGTATTATACGTCTGAATCGACTTGGTTCAAATGCTTTTTCTTGTGGTGTTAGTTTTTTCGAGAAAAGTAATTCAGTATCACGTATCATACAAAGAACTGGAGGCATTGCTAATACAAGCTATGATGAGAATAAAAAGAAGAAAAAAGTTGAGTAAATAAAAAAACACTCATCGTACTCGTTTAATCATTGCAAAAAGTACTTTGAGGCCGCCAGCTAAAAAAAATAATCTTTATTTTTTTATTATTATTTTTTCTCTATGCTGTACTTGCATACTATTTTAAAAAAAGAAAAAAAAGAAGTAGAGTATCATTTTAAATAAATGTCCTCATAGTTTCATCTAGGATTGTATCTTTAACAATGTTTTAATCCGATTAAATTATATATTACATATTATATTACAGAAGACTTGTATGTTATGAGATTAGCATCATTTTTCTATATATCGAATACAACACTGATGTGTGAACGTTTTCAACAGATTATTCGCTTTCTCGTAAAACAATAGTGAATTGTAGGTTATCGATCATACTAATGTCGAATATGATCATAAGAAGTCCTCTTAGGTCTTCATATGTCAAATTTTCTAGAAAACCATTTTTTAAGTCTAACAAAATTTTCGTCAAAAATTCTTTTTGATCTTTTCAGATAATAGAACATATCGAATCGAATCACCTTAAAAACAGTAGTTACTTTTGTTTCAAATCTTTTTTTTTCTTTCCAGAAAACGCAACCATTTTACTTCATACAACAGATATATATTAACGTTTCAATGTAAAAATCTTCACTATGATATTATTTTGATTAAAATTCATTTTTGAAAACCAGTATATAAAGATCTAAGGAAATTTTTTAATGAGAAAGTGACTAATCAGTTGAAAACGTTGCTTCATGAGCAATTTGTTTATAAAAGTATATTTTACCGGTATTAAATGATTTGGCAATATTTGCTGGTGATAGATCTAACAAAAGACCACCAAGTTCATTACATGCAATATGTACAAGTAATTCTTTGCCACTACCACGTGGTCCACTAAGAAGTACGGCTTTACGTAGTGGTATGTTGAGATGAACATTTTGTGAGCCTGTCTTTATACAAAAGAAAGAGTATACAAAAAAAAATCGAATATTTATTTATTTATATGATTACAAAGAGGAAAAATAATTTGTAGAATGACCAGTTGTTGACAATCAAGTAAAGATGGCATTGGTTCTTTTTCATTATAACGCATTGTTTCAGTTAAATATTGATAGTCACCAATAAAATCTTGTTGATATACTGATTTTGTAGGTAAAATAATACCTGTTTCAACAAGTTCTTCAAAGATGGAATCATTTGTTCTACATTGAAATATTACTAGTAAGTTAATTATCAAAAATAAAATATTTCTTACCGATTAGCAACAATATCTTTTATTTTTTTATTTCGGTTTTTCCTCTTTTTTTTCTTTTTTGATTTTTTTGTTTGTTTATCTTCAGCATTATCAATCGCTAATTTCAGATAGACTAATTCATTATGAAGAATATTATCAATATCATTTCGTATTTCATTTTCAACTTCAGGTCGAAAATTATCTATAGCTAATAATGTATCATAATGTTGTTCTTTATTATATGATTCATCTCGTTCATAGAATAATTCTTTATAGATATTCATTTGATCATTGATAACAGGAATGAATTTTGATGATTCTAATTCATTCATAGTTGGTTTCTAGAAGATATAAGATCATGAAAAACAAAGAAAAAAACATTTGTTCTTCTTTCTTGAATTACTTGTTTTGTTGACTTCTTTTTTAAGGTTTTTATTGGTGTTTTTACTTCTTTTCGCTTAGTTTTTTTATTTTTTAATGCTTGAGCTTGCTACTAAAAGTGAGAAGTTATCAAGATGATGTTCAAAAGAATTTTTCTTGTATGTTTCTACACCTTATTGACAAATTCTTGAACTTCAGCTATTGTCATTTCTTTGAAAAGTGTTGCTGAACCATTGAGATCATCTGATGGATAAATAGGAAATTGACCATAGAGTTGTCGTGATTCTAATAACCATTGAATAAGAACATGTTCAATGCGTGATTTTACTTCAGTTTCTTCAAATTGACGAATTTTTTGTTTGATATAATTCGATGCTTCATCGAATTCTTGATGATGTTGCAATTGTAAATCACGTCTCTTCTTATCTCTACTAGCGATACTATTCTCACTCGGTAGTTTTCTTCGGGGTAAGATCTGAAATAATAACTGAGATAAAAGCCAGTCATGATTAGAAATGTGCGGGACCTAGTTTTTTTTGGTCCGGGTCTCGATCAAGAGAAAACTCTATTAGAGTACATTCGTGTTACATCTGAAATAATTCTTCAATAGTTGTCTGTTTGATTTATTTAGTTGACGACTAGTACTTTTTTTGTCATCTCTCTTGAATTGTGTTCTGGTTTTTCTCTTTGTGGAGGTTCTCGGTCTCGCACAACTCTATTCACGAGGATGAAGAAAGGAAACATACAAAGGAATATAATCTTTCGTACCATGCCTAACAATTTTGCATTTTCAGTCTTTTTTCTATCGAATAATTTTTCAGCATATTTTTGTCTCCATACTGTTTGAATGATAAGACAACTATCTTCAAGATTATTATCATTAAATGACATCATTTCTTTAGTTTTTAATTCATTTTTCATTTGACGCATAAAATATGCATGTACACGACCTTGACGAGCACGTTCATGTGCTTGAAGAACATGTAGAACAGTAGCTAATGGAATTACATTAGTATGATAAATTTTTAATGTTAATAAAGAATCAAATGAAGATTTCATAGAAAGATCATTTTTTGATTGTTCTAAACGATCAAGAATCATCCTTATAGTATGATTTCGTTGTTCTATTGATTTAAAACGATCTTCAGCAAAATAACGAGGAATTTCAATACATAAATCATCCTATTACAAAAAAGAAAACAACAATTAATCTCTTTGATCAATTTCTGTAAGTTATCTTTTGCTTTTTTGTTTTCATACTAATGTTTTATTTTGATCAAGTGCTAAATCTTCAAAATATGTATATTCACAACAATCGAATTTGATCATTTCTTGTTTTAGTTCAATTAATCGTCCAACAATACCATCAAGTAAAATACGTATAATTAAACGTTTTTGTGGATGAATTAATGTTTGATAGATTTCATCGAGTTTTTTCATAATATCATTATATTTAATAAACAATCGACGTACATAATCATTAGCTTTTTGTCTACTATCAAAACCTTTGGGACCAAATATTTCTGATGTAAGTAAACGTGATAATTGAATTTGAGTATTAGTCCATAGGGTTTGTACATATTTTTGTGACATTGACTATACATTAAGTATGAAGGGCGCCATTAAATTAAAACGTCATTAAGTCTAATTTTTATTTAATGTAAACAAATCTTGTTATTAATGAATTAGGTTTAGTTTTTACTTAATGTTCTTGAATTTATTCTCATCGGAACAGTAGCCAACAAAAAATTAGAAGAATAAAGCGTTGCGAAAAACAAACGAACTTATATATTTGATTTTCAAATGAAATCATACTATTCCTGTTGTTGAAGAGTGAATCGTTTTTTATGTGCTATCTACTCAATTTCATTAATTAAGATTGCTTTTAAGATTTGCTTTATTGATTTTCGGGAAAAATGTCTTCGTGAAAGATTATGATTCGATAGACATGAAAAAAATTTCAATGAGTTTCAGTTTCAAAAAAAATATACATTACGACAAGGCACTTGCGATAGGTTTTCACATAGAGTACGCTACTACAGGATTCCGACAGACAAGGTTTTGGTTAGTTATTTCTATCAACCAATCATTTTTTTTATATTGTTGATTACTTACTATGTATGTTCTGTTTACAATCATTTCTCTCATCATTGACATTTGTCTTCATTACATTCAATTCAATTTTTCTTTAATTAAATAATAAAACTACAAAAATAAAACATAATTCAATATAAATACATTTCTTCTTTCATATTTGGATTAAGCAATGAGTTCAAATGAGGTACCTGGTAATGAGGATGGCGATGATAAATCGTCGATGCCTTCTACTCCGACTACAACCGTTGAATACAATCGCACATTATCACAAGACTTACGCCATCTTGATGATGCTCTTACGTATGCCATTGATCAATTGACAGTATTTAATCGTGAAGTTATGTCTGATCTATCTCTCAAATATGAATTAATGCGTACTAATGAAGTAGGAGTTAAATATATCCTTTTTCTTTTGTTAAGTAATTTTCATGTTAAATATAGAGTCGTGTCATTGGTTTTTTTGCTCGTCAACAATTAATGTTATCACAATTACCAAAAACCAACAATCAAAATGGTGGATTTCATAGTGAATATTCCAAACTTGATCGATTTTTATCTGTAATTAATCTCAATAAAAAATCAATTGAAGTAAATCAAATTCCTATTCTCATATATATTTTAGTAATTATATATATATATACATATGTTTTTTTTATTTTAGTATATTGCACAACGTATGACATTTGATGATTTATTAAATGGAAAAGCTACTATACGTGAAAAACTCTTATACGATGCTGATACCACAGAAGCTGAACGAAAAGATTTTCGTAATGCACTTAATGCATTAAAAGATTGCATTGGTATGTATATTTTTTTTTGTATTAGTTTATTTATTAACTAGCAATATTATTTCATTTTCTATAGATTATTTTTCTCATGGTGGTACAAATGATAATGGACGCTTTTATTGGCATATTGAAACACCACCTCCAACAACGATTACACCATATTCTGTTCGTCAACATCGTTTGTCAGATACTGGTAAAACTTTGTTTTTTTTCTCATTCAATTGTAAATGTTAAATACAAAAAATTTTCTTAATAATATAGCTCTATCAGTACCGCTCAATACAGATTCTGTACGATCACCATCTGTATCTTTATCTCTTTCGACTGAGTTTGGAGCTGTAAAAATTAATAACAATCAAGCAGCAATAACATCATTACCACCTGCAACACGGAATAATTGTAAGAAAAAAATCACAGAAAAATATTCTTTATTCTTCTGATTTAGTCACTCATATACCTCCACCACCTCGTTCCAATCATTTATATGTTACTGATAAAGGAAAATGTGAACATCCAAGTAAAAAAAGTTCTGTTGATCCATCAATATTTGCAAAGTAAGAATGAAAAACAAAACAAACATTCCTATGTTTTTCTTCAATTAGTGTTAATCCATCACGTAGTACAGATCTACAAATACCTGATGGTGGTTCAGTATCTCGTCGAAGTTCTTATGGTTCTGATACGGAAAGCCAATTACCATCTGGTATGATATGATTCTTATTGTTGAAAAAAAGTTAAAAAAAGAAAAAGAATTTCCTTAATCATGTTTTAGTTTTTAATGGTTGGCCGTAGAAAAGTCGGAAGGAACAATGTCGAAACTAAGGATATATTTACGAAAATATTTCCTTTTGTCAATAAAGAATGTCTTGTTAGTTGAGATTTTCGATATTTTCCTTTGCATAGGATTTAAATTAATATTTCAAAATACTAAATTTTATTGGAATACGTTTGCTTTGTTTTTCTCTTTAAAATTTGAATGAATACTGAATGGAAAAACAATTTCGATTTCTTCTTTTTATTAATAAAATAATTTTCTTTCTATTAGAATTTGAGCACAGTTTTAAAAATGAAACAGTCAAGCTTTCTCATCATTTGGCTACGCGTAAGATTGCTGTAACTTCATATAAAACTTATTATCATTCAAATTCAATGCCGCCATCATTAATCAAACAACAAACAAGATCAGATTTTAGTGGACAAATTATGAGAAGTAGTCTAAAGTTAAATTTAGATAATAATTTAAATTATGAAAATAAAATTATATCAAAATCTACAAAAAAACGCTTTTGGGTTAGATCTTTTTCTAAAGATGGTTAGCACAATGATTTATGCTATTTGCTCGGATAAGGTTGACTTACATATGCTTCTGTATGCTAATAATTGATTAATATAATTCTTGATATTTTTATTTTATGTTTACTTACTCTTGATATTATAAATAGGTACAGCAACACCTAAATCACCAACAATACGTTCACCGACAATGCCCGGTTCACCGATGGGTTCAGCATATAATAGTGATACTGAAAACGATTCAAAAACATCAAGTTAGTCATGAAAAAATTTTGTTTTCTTTTTCTATTTTTAATTAATAAGTATATTTTTAAAAATAGGTTTGCCTATTTACAATATTCATTCTCCTATTCTCGGACATCGAATGGCACATAAAATTCAGCACAAGTTCGTATTGAAAATCATTTTATGTTGTGCTCGTACTCACGCTTTAGCTTACTTCTTTCTCATACGCACACACACACATATATATATACATACACACATATACTCATATAACCACCCTATGCCAGCCTATCAATTGATTTAATATTGTATTTCTTTATTTGGTCTAACTTTTTATTTAATCTTGATGATCTTCGCTGTTATTGTGTTGTTTATTCAGTTTTGGTAATCATTTTAAATGTAATTGTTTGTAAATGACAACGACGACAATATTGTTTCTTTTTTTCTCTCTATCTTATTCTCAGGTGGAGTAATCTGATGAAATTATCAATATGTAATGTATGTTCAAGAAGAATCTTCTTTCTTGGTATCAAATGCAATTTTTGCAAGTAAGATGTATTAAAAACGGTTTACAAAAACTTTCTTTTAGTAAGAAAATGCGCATTATAGTAAGAGTTTATTTCTATTTTCTTAGACATTTCATTCATCATCTTTCTTATTTTCGTTTCTTTATTCCCTTCCCCTTGCTTTCTGCGCGCCTGCGAGCATTTTTCTGAATGAGCAAAGCAATAACTCGTCAAAAAATAAACAAAACCTTCTTTTATATTATTCTTCTAGGTTTGACAGAACACGTGTATTCAAATTTTCCTTTTGTGACGTCTGTAAGAGACAGGTGTTTCGAGGAAAATCATGTCTTCATTGCAAGTAAGATACTCGAAAATGCACCTTGTCAATGAAGATTAAAAAAAATAATAAAAAGCATTTAGCATGATTATAGAAAGGCATGATATTTTCCTTATTTGAAGATGATCTCCATGTTTTTTTTGTTATTTTTATTAAAATTTTTCTTTTTTTATATCGATATGTAGATTTATTTTCTTTTAAAAAAGGTACAAATGTCACAAAGAATGTGTTCCAAACGCTCCGGCTAATTGCGGTTTTAGTGAAGGGAAATTTCGACAAGTTATTGATAATACTGATATTCAAAATGCTTTTGGTAAATAATTATATATGATAATAATTTTCATTCTCTTTGCTGTATCTTTTAGTTAATTCCAGTCCATCACCACGAAAATATCATTTTACTCGTACGTTACTCTCTCTCGCTCTCTTCCATATTGTCTTAAATAGAATTATTGTTTTAGCGTCTGATAGTGCAAGTCCTACACCATCGACTCCAATGTCAGCTCCTGGATCACCTGCACCACACCCGTTAATTCCTGGTTATAATTTTAGTTCTTCAACCTTAAATGGCAATCCATCGATATGTGTTAGTGAATCGATTTATTGCAGTAAGTCTTTTTTAATAATATTGCTGAATTTAATAATTCTAATAATAACTGCATGATGTGAAAACCACAAACAAAAATACTAAATTACTTTACAGTTGCGAGTTTGCATCTATTTGTACTTGAATATTGTATAAAATAAAAAAGAAATATTTGGGAGTAATATAAACTAATATCATTTTTCGAAACTCATCATTTTTATCCTTGGTGTTATGATGTGTAAATTAAACTAATTGAATAAGAGAAAAAAACAAATGTACCATCTGTTCTTATTTTTACCTTTAGCTCAAAATGATCCTGATAGTTGGGTCGTCATAGAGACGAACACAAAAACTACATCAGGTGGGTGAAAAAAAACAAATATTGTCTGGTGTCGGAAATAAAATTTGTGTTCTATTGATGTTGTTCGCCGAGAAAAAAACAAATACATATATAGTGATAAAGCTTATGTATTTTGTTTTGTATTTAATTCATAAGAATTATTTATATTAATTAAAAACAAAAATGATATTTTATTGTAGAAAATCCTGAATCTCAATCCGATTGTGATACAAAGTATGTAGAACAAGAATATGAACTTTAGTTTTTTAATTTTATTTAAAATTTAGTTCAACAATTCAAGCAGATTCTGGAACAAATGCGACAGATTCAACACCGACTACACGTAGTAAACTTCTACAACAATCATCACATGTAAATAGATTTTAGTTATTTGAAGTATAGGAATTCTCCTTTTTTTGTTCTAGAGTGAACCAGTACATCCTAGTCGGGAGGATTTTAAATCAAAACTTTCAATTTCATTTGATGATGAGGAAGTTGATCCAGAAAAACGAAGTATTAATGTAAGTTATTCAAGAAATCATTTCTTAAAAATATCTTTAAAATAGACTAAGCAGATGTTTACTTGAAAATAAGGGTGTCACTTTTAAATTTCTGAGAGTCTTGAATACATCGCAACTTTACATAAAAAGAGAAGCAAGAATATATTAATAACTTACGAGTAAACTATTTCAGCCAGAGACCGTCACCGGGCAGGGCGCCTTCAAGACATATAAACTGAGGTGAACTATCGAATGGGCTCTTAACCTTATGAAAACTTTTGTTCTTGTTTATATTCAATGCTTGTATCTTTTTTTTATATAATTTCAAAAAAATATTATCCATGTATAAAAGAATCATGAATTCCGGTAAAAATCGATTGACATTTTGTTTTATTCTAATTTCTAGGATTTTTTCCAAATTTTATTTCCAGTAAAATTCATTAATAAATTTTCGTAAGCAAAAATTGACAAGTCTTTTTAATCGATTAGAAAGAATTAAAAAAAGCGCCTGACAATAAAAACTATCAACCGTGATGACCAAAAACTCAGATTATAATCGAGTAAAAATGGTATCATTTCAATTTATTTTTGATGAAGAAATAATACTTGTCAATCCAAACTGTTGCCTTTTTTATCATGGGTACATGACACTCGTAGCATATTCATACAAAAACAGAGTATCCATCAATGAAAGCAGCGTTTCTTAATGACTGAGTATCAATATTTGATTGAAGAAAGTGTTCAATCTTTTCGAAATCGAAAAATACATTACCTAGTAGAAGTATATAGTGACAAATGTTCTGAAAGTTTCATGTTTGGATTTAGTACACAATTTCAAATGACTTTTTATAAAAAAATGTTACCAGGCCAAAATAATTTGCCTTGCTTGGTTCTAATGACAGTCTATGAACCAACTGTAACCTGTCATTTGAGCTCATATCGGACTCACAAGAAAGTCTCGATAAGATTAAATTCTGGCTGACACCTTCAGGAGATTCTATGAGTCATTAAACTTACCTATTGGCAAAAGTTTAGTTCAAAATTTTCCTTATTTGGTTTTTCATGATAGTGATGCTAACTCGGCTCCAAAAACTCATGGAGACGAATCTTAGTAGGTTTTTCTAGTCTTACTGAGATCTTCTTGTAAGCTCAAACGATGGATTACAGTCGGGACAGTTCCTTATTAGTATTTTTTGAAAATTTAATTAATCTTAAAATTTTCTTACCTTAAAAAGAGTGGATTTTAATGAAAACTAAGTCTTTTATATTGATTTGAGTCAACAATTATCAAAGTAATTTCTTTTCTTATTTAGCTTTCAACGTCAATACAAGATTGGGTAATTGTATTTAATAATATAAAAATGATTGAAGAAGTACGACGATCATCTGGCACATTAATGAAGTAAAAAAAATATAGAAAGATGAAATAAATTAATTCTTCTTATTATTTTTTGTTGAATAAAATCTCTTTTTATTCAGAGCTCATTGGCATGGAGAACTTGCTGTAAGAATAATAAAACCTGATCCTAAAATGATTGAAGTTGAATTTTTAAATCAATTTAAAAATCAAGTAAAAAGAATGACTTTTTTCATAGGTGTGTTTAAATATTTCTGTTTTTATTTAAAAGATATTTCGATTAAGAAAAGTTCGGCATGAACATTTAAATTTATATACAGGTGTTTGTAGTATGTAATCATGATTTTTTCATCACTTTTTATAATCATTTTTCTATTTCGAAAATTTTTTTCATTAGTCGAAAGTCCTAATTTTGCAATTGCTTCAAAGTAAATTTTTTTTCATTTCAATAACAAAATATTGATTTGTCTTTTGTTTTCAGTTGGATTCGTGGTGCAACTCTATTTGAAATGATTCATATACGTAATGATTTAATTCCGCTCAATTTAGCTGTAAATTATGCTGCTCAAATAGCTCAAGCAATGAGTTATTTACATGAAAAATCTATAAATCATATGTCTTTACGTACATCGAATATATTTGTACAAAATAATAGAATTATTTTAACTGATTACGGCTTAGTACCATTGAGTAAATGTTATCGATATACAAACCATCCAGCAATAATAGCACCACGTGGATGGCTTAGTTATTTAGCACCAGAAATAATACGTAAACTTGATCCACGTCATGAACAAACAATTTTACAACATACACCTCAAACAGATGTTTATGCATTTGGGTAAATTGCAAATCAAAAATATTTAAAATAAATCGAAATTGATGAATGAGATTTGTTTTTTCTTTGGTTTTTTTAAGAACCGTTTGGTATGAACTTTTATTTCGAGAATTTCCATTTGCAAAACAACCACCAGAATATATTATATGGAGAGCAGGAAATTCACTAAAGCAACCATTGAGTAGTGTTCATATTAGTAAAAATGCTAAAGTAAGTATTCATTTATTTTGAATGTAATTATGTTTTTTCCACGATTTTCTCGGAAACTCAATTAAGTACTAGCATAGGCGATATAAAGTGTGTGCGCAGTTGCGTGTGTTCATGCAATATCTCCTGTACTAGTTACGTGGCAGAAATGAAAAATTAAAGAAGATTTTTTTTTCGTTTTGTTATATATGGCGTGAAAAACTGAATCGAAGAAGGTGATTCAGAAATAACCTTCTTCGATTCAGTTTTTCACACTGAATCTGAAGCAAACACCTGTGAAATTCGAAGGAAAGAAAAAATATTGACCTCTTTTTTCAAAAAAAAAGTAGGCCATCGAAAAAAACTGAACTTTGTCCACTAAAGACTCATTCGAAAAAAATGAAAGCGCATATACTTGTTCAACTTACAAAGTTCTATCCAATCAGATATAAAAAAATTAAAAAAAAAGGCAGTTCTGCTTCAATCTTACACTTCCGTCACCTTACTTAATTGAGTTTTCGGAGATGCCCGTACAAGTCATCATATGATGAATTGTGAGAATAGTCGATTCTATTCATATGAACTCATTTATTTTATATGAAACTACAGACAATCATCAATGAATATTGTTACATAGAAAGATAGCTGAGAACAAAACCATTGATAAACAATCAGTAAATANACACGATAAAATGAATACTGGTGAATTCGATATTAATTAATTAACAGAAAACATTATTCATGTCTATTTTATAGCTTTTTGTTGTATTATAAATCATGGTGAGTTCGACATAAATTAAGTTATAAGAAACAATATTGATGTATCTTGTTTTAGATTCATGTGATAGAATAAAGAAGGGAGAGTTCGGTTTAGTTTCATAAATTAAAAAAAGTATATGTCGTGTTTAGGTTCACCTGACAGAGTATGGTATTTCAAGATTGTTTTAATGGTATTAGTAGAAAACAATTTTCATATTTGTTGTTTTTTATTCGTGTGTTGAGATAACTAATGGTGAGTTCGATTGCATAAGAGGAGTATTGATTTTCATTGTTATATGTCATTCTAGGTTCTTTTGATGTTAATCCTAATGTCGTGCTGAATTCGAACATGTGAGCAAAAATTCAAAATCGTGTCTATGGTTTCGGTGGATCTTGTAAAGCAAGTGATGGTGAGTTGGTTTTAGTTTATGAATCCGTTTTTTCCTTTTCGTCTGCTGTCAGATTGCGTGGATAAAGCTGCAAGTGCTGATTTGAACAGTCTAAGCTCTATCAATTAAAGTTGTTTTTGCCTCATGTGATGCTCATCTTCTGCAATCAGTTGTGCGCGGTGAAATGTTGAGCTTTTAATGAGCGAAATTGGGCCTAATGGTTCGGTTAATGTATGCTATTACAGCTGACAGGGAGTTTTAATGTGAGAATCTGCAGTCCTTTCTTTGTGGCTTATACTTATGCCACCGGTATGAAAAAGCCGATGGGTGTTTCCACTGTTCTCTAGTCATAAAAGTTATACATTAGATATTTGAGGCTTAGATGGAATCGTAAGAAGAATCAGACTCTAGGAAATCTTCTCTCTTGTGTTCTTGTTTGATTCTTGTAGAATGTTATCGTTGCATGAGTTTTTCTTGCGTCTTACCGTCAGATGTGACAGTACAACAAGATATGTGACGAGTCTTAGAGACAGACTTAATGCAGCTATTTGGAGCTCCCGTTTTGTGCAATATTTCATGCGATCATACAGGATCTTGCTTCTTTTTTCGACTTAAGTTATATTCCGTAAAATATTTAAAACGCCTATTTCGACTTCAAACGTTACTTTTGAGCATTTCAACATTCAGTGAGTTTCATTTCATTTCGTGATGTGCAGTAGCTTATGTTTTATGAGATCAAAACAGTCGAACTCATGCATGGTAGTACGCATAGATTTCTGCGATCCAAAAACGTATTAAACGTACTATTATTTACGTTTTGACGCTGTAGAAAGGTAGCTGATTGCGGCTGTTAATCACGAGTCCTACCTACGAGTTGAAATCGATAAGGAATAGTAAATGTGAACTGGTTTCAAAAAGCGGAGCGTTTAATAGTTAAAGACTCGACGCATAGTTTAAAAAGAATAATGTTATCGTCCAATTTTTCTGGTCATTACCGGTTGTCAATCGCAGTTTCAAACTGTGAGGCAGAAACAGGAATGAAAATGAAATCCTATCCCTCACCAGAAAACGAACCGTGTAAATGTTAGAGACTTTCAGCATACTGAAAAAAAGGATCATGTTAATATCCACTTTTTCTGACCGTAATCGGTTGTCAATCGCGGTTCCCGACTGTGAGTCAAAAACAGGAATGAAAAGTAAAGCCTAATCTGTTTCATAAAATGAACTGTTTAAATGTTACAGATTTTAGCATACTGAAAAAAAAAGATCATATTAACGTCCAGTTTTTCTGACCGTAATCGGTTGTCAATCGCGGTTCCCGATTGTGAGTCAGAAACATGAATGAAAACTATACTCGAACCTGTTTCATAAAATGAACCGTTTAAATGTTACGTATTTTCACCATAGTGAAAAAAGGATCGTGTTAACGTTCAGTTTTTCTGATCATGACTGGTTGTCAATCGCGGTTCCCGATTGTGATTCGTTAATGTTTAGAAGAAGTGAATGTGAAAATGGTTATATGTTAGCGCAGTGAACATACTTAAATTTTAGTCGGCGCGAAAAAGTGACCGTTTTGACGTCCACTTATACTGGTCGTTACTGACACACAGTCGGGAACCTCGATTGGCAGCCAGACACGGCCGAAAAGCTCTGCGCGTTTAAACACGTTTTTCCATTTTTTTGTCTGCCTGGGTAGCCATCTCTTAAAATACATTATCGTTGGAAAGTTTATTAATAAAGATTGAATTACAAATATAAATAATAATATGTTAACACACAAATATTATATTATATTTCAGTCTTTCTCTTTAATGTCTATCCATTAAATTCGATATTGAATTTTTGTACACGATGATTTTCACAATCGACGACATAGAGATTGCCGTGTCGATCGAATGACAAACCAGTGGGTTCATTGAGTTGGTTCGATTGTTCTCCTCTACCGTTTCCACCAACAATGACACTTCCCTGTGTGGCTCCTTTGGGCCAACGCATGATTCGATGATTCCCATTATCAGCCACATAGACAGTGCCCAATTGATCGGCAACGACTCCTTCAGGATATGACAATTGTGTAAGACCATTTCCTAGTCCTTGACCAGCAGCCACGACAATGCCTTGTTTTGCATCTTCCACCCATTTCATCACACGATGATTTCCCCATCCAGACACGTACACTGAATGATCTAGATCGACGAATACGTATTGTGGGTAAGAAAGTTGATCGAGACGATTTCCACTTCCATTGCCACCTGCAACCACTGTTCCTTGAGATTCTCCTCTTCGATATCGTCTCACTTCATGATTTCCAATGTCAGTGACATAGAGAGATCCATTCTCGTCCATTGTCAAACCCACACAAGCGATGTTGGAGATGATCGTTTCTCCACTTGTCCCATTTCGACGAGGCCATCGAACCACTCTTCTATTCGGATAATCGCAGATGATGAGACTATCTCTCTCTTTGTCGACAATCACATCTTGTGGGTAAGACAACTGATGAGCCCCACTTCCTTGTTCATTTCCACCGGCAACCACTTGGCCGCTCATCGCACCCCATTTCCATTCCACAATACGATGATTCGATGTATCAGTGACATAGACACTTTGATCATCATCAACATACAAACCCCATGGGTTAGAGAGTTGATTGATTCCATTGCCTTGTCGATTTCCTCCAGCCACAGTGATACCATTCTGTTGCCATCGAGCATTCGGATGAATGTTGGTGCTGGACGGAGAACGTAATGGGTAGTCTGAAATAGAGACAAGAAAAATTATAAAATAAGAGATAATGAGAGAGAGAGAGACTATAGAGAGAAAACAGTGAAAAGTTCATTTTTAAACGAAGGAGTCAATGTAAATCTTAAAAAAGGTATATGATTGATATCGTATATTCTATTGAAACTCCGGTGAATATGGAAGATCAGCAATAACAGTAGAAATTACTCAAAGCAAATCCACGTCGACATTTAATATTTGAGAGTCTGTATCTCTGTTAAACTTTAATGAGATCGTTCTCCCCACCCCCCGTACTCAAGATTTTTAGAGAACGATTCAACCAAACGTTTTGAAACTTCCAAGGTAGATACATCTCGATAGGTAGAGCGAAACATGGTCATACACTCAAAAACCCCAAATGGTTTCTTCTCGAAGATCTTGAGAGTACAAGAGCCAAAAAATGGTCTCATTTTGTGACTGCTTGTCACAAATCGCGGCGCAACCACAACGAGTGGCGCCAAGGTAGCATTAAATTCTCGATCACATTTTCGTTACTTCGTTACCTCGTCACCCAAGCAGTCAGAAAAGTCAATTTGACGCTTTATAACAACCATTTCGCGTTCTGTCTTTGAACGCATTTTACACAGTCAAAAAAGTCCAAATTTTGGGCGTTTTAACAGTCACAATATTTTCAGTTTTCGCATCAGTAGAACGAAAGAAGAAGAAAGATTTCATCATGACGCGTTACTTTTGCATTGTGGACTATTGGGAATGTACTTTAACTAGTTTTGTTTTGTGGTCTAGTATAGATTTGACCGAAGAGTCCTATAATTACGAGCCATCTAACTTACGATTCGACTATACTTACGTGTTTCTAGATAAATTAACTTTTCTACTTATATTAAACGAAAACTCCGCAAAAGCAAACTAACATTTCTATAACTACAACAGCTCTAAACAAATATTGTTTTCGATGTTTGTTTGGTCTCATTGAATAACCACTGTGATTTGTTCAATTTCAATTACTATTTCACAACAATTTTTTAAAATTTTTATTTATATATTTATAAATATTTAGTTTACAGCCATTTTGCGAGTATCATATTTCGTTTTAAATATTTTCAATTGAAATGAAATACAACGCGACAAAATGGCAAGTTCACAATTGTCGATGTATTTCTTCTTTTTTTCTTTTATCTTTTTCCTATAATACAAGTACGGAAGAAAGGAACAGGATAGTAATACTGGACGATATGAGTTAGAGTTCATCTGCTTTCATAGCAACATTATAAGAAAAAGGAGGGAAAAAGAACAAGTATGTATAGACAATTTTGCACTTTTCATTTTGTTGTTTTTTTATTGCAAACACTGAAGGAGAAAGTTGATGCTTTCTAAAACTCTCTAATTTAAACATTCATAAATATACAAATAAAAATTAAAAAAATCAAATTATTGTGTAAGAGTAACCGAAACTAATATTGGTCGATACATCATCGTGCTTACTGACGCACAACTGTACTTTCTGAAACATGGCATTGATTCTACATCTTGTTATGCACTTTCCTTAACTGGTTAAAACGAATGTATTTCTATGATAAAATGCATCAATTTCTCTAATTCTTCTATTGAATTCGTTACCTCGTTACTTTGTTACCTCGTCACTTTGTTACCTCGTCACTTAGTCACTTCGTCACTTCGTTACCTCGTTACTTCATTACCTCGTTACCTCGTTACTTTGTTACCTCATTACCTCGTTACTTTGTTACCTCATTACCTCGTTACCTCGTTACTTCGTTACTTTGACACTTCTCTGTGTTGACTCTGTGCAGTTCCGCCGTGACTTGTGGCCACCAGTGCGTTTTTTAGGCCTCAATTTTTTTCTATGGCAACTAGGATCAAATCTGGATGCATCATTGTTTTTTCTTTGAGAAATATTGTTCCTGATGCTCAGGATAAGAAAAACACTGAAGACACTAACAAAAAACCATTAAAAATGCTTTTTACTGAATGCTGCTAATTTTGTAAAATTTGTCAAAGTTTATTGGTACAATATTTGTGAGAGAAGGAAAAAAACACACCCCAATTCGATAGACGTATATATAAAACATTTTGAGCTCAATGAGTCACACGGTGTAGGAGGAAAGTGGGAAAAACTTCAATTTTTTGTTTGAAAATTTGATTTTGAGAAAAACGCAAAGAAAGTCGCACTTTTTATCTATTTTAGCATACAACATTTTTTCCTCCGACTGTTTTACACACAGAAAAGTGTCTTTGCTTTCTTGAAATGTACTCATTTAAAACTGATTATTTTCAGTAGGGAATGGGGGTTCTCTTAAATACGCATCTTTGCGCATCCATGAAACATAGATGATGACAGCCTCTATCAAACGGGAAATTGATATTCGTTTACAATGTGTATTGGTTATTGTGTTTGAATCAATCGATTTCTTATTTACTTATCATGCTATATTATTGGATCATCCATTCATATTTATACAGTATTCAATGCACACTTTTTGTTTTGCTCCTTTGACTTATTTTTTTTATTTATATCAAAGATTTCTTATTCTATTGAAATTTTTCTTCACTTTTCTATTGAAATTAGGTAAGGAAGACCGAGCACTTTTCAAAGTTTCCAATGATCTAAAATGGAGTCCAGATGGATGACCGCCGGATTCTTTTGGTTATGTTATCGTTAGGGGTGGTAAATTAGTATTAGTATTACAAAAATGCTAATGCTAAAGCATTAAGGTTAATTTTAATACTAATGCTTAATGTATTAGCATTAGTATTAATAAATGCCAATGCTAATTCTAATGCACCACCCCTAGTTATCGTTTTCTGTGCATAATAAAGCTGTAGCAATCGAGTAGTGGCAAAAATTAAGATGTTTACAAAAACTTGACTTGTTCCGTTTTTTCTATTGGCGGTAAAGAAAATACGTGTTGTCGTCTTCGACAGAATCACATATTTATATTTTTTCTGATGAACGGGACAAACGGGATTTTACGGGACAATTTGAAAAACTTCGGGACGGGACACAAAAAAAGTTTGTCCCGCAGACCTATAAAAGCCATACAACAAAATCTAGGTAATAGTAAGACTTTTGCAAACTGTGATGAAACAACATTAATATACTAAGGGCAATCCAAAAAGTAGTGACAATGACACTTTAATACTCCATAGTAAACCTGAAGAAAATTTCGTTTTATATGCATTGATAGTAAAAACAATGCTCTATTTTTCTATGGTATTTCAGTATTCTTCAACTAATATAATAAAATTTTTTTGTTAAGACATGTTATTCTATCATATGTGACGGTTATTCTAATTCCTATTTAGCAGATATTTTTTGCATATTTTTTGATAGAAACCAGATAGAGCGCTGCGATTTCCATCGTTTGAAAGAAGAAATGAAGATACATCGAGTTGTGTATTATGGGATTTTTGACCTGACGTTTGAAGCTTTTCAATCGACCTCTTTGAAAACAATGCACCTCTCATAAGATGTTTACAGCAAACTTGCTATTGTCAGGTGTGTATTCAAACCGCAAATGGAAGATCTACAAAACCACGTAAGGTTCAGATGTTTCGAATTAATCATTCAGAAATTATATGTATTCTAGTCGAAGTTCTAAGTGATTTTTTTTAGAAATTTCTGTAAAAAAGACTTTTTTTGCTGTTCCCTTTTTGGTAAGAAACCATTGTTCCACATTTATAAAATTGATTAAACAAACTAAAGACAACACTCTAAGAAAGTGTACAATATACGATTTGATACATCTTCATTTCCTCTGTCGAACGATGAAAATCACAGCTCTCTATCTGGTTTCTATCAAAAATGATTCAACAAATATTCTCTAAATGGGAATTAGATACTAATTCCCATTTAGCGAATATTTGTTGAATAATTTTTGAGGGTGTGGGTGTGGGTGTGGGTGTGACTCTGGCTACGTACTTAAAGAACACCCACACACTTACACCCAGCCACAGCCACCCACATTCGCACCCTAAACTGTCCCCCGTCCTTTGCAAAAACCTGGAAAAAGGACTTTCAGACTTTAGCATAGTTCTAGGTAAAATTGAATTTTCTCAACGAGGACAAAATATTTTAAACATCTAGACATATAGTTTTTTAGAGGAGCATCTGACGAATCCAACGACGTAAAAAAGTCGATCCTAGCACCTGAAGAAAAACCTGTGAAAATTCTGCAAAAATAGGTTCAAGGATTCTCGAAAACACGCTTCTGAAGATCTTACGAGGCGACAGTTTAGATTTTTTACGATTTTCAGGATATATTCTGATTTAGTTTTTCAAGCTGAACAAGAATCTGTCTTTTTTGAACTATCTCAGATGATCAAAAGCTGTAGAAATTTGATTTTACAAAAACCAGCTGGAAAACCTGGTTTTTCGTACATCTCAAATTTTTCAATTTTTTGGGTTGAAGGAAGCGTTGAAAGAAACTTAAAGAACAGATATTCTTGATCGCCATGAAATTCTCTATCAGATGATGTATGAAACGACGAAAAAAATTTGCTCGAATTTTGCTTTGCATGCACCTTACAATATATGTAATATGCCTGAAGATAATATGGTTGGAATATATTTATTATAGCTTACGCTCATCAATTTAGTCGATAGCCATTTTTTGTTAAATCCATATCTAATTGACAGTGAAGTTAGGCAAATGTATTAGTGGAATTCTGGAATACCAAAAATGTGTTGAACATAATTGTCTTACCTATTCAGCAATTTTCGACAAGCGATACAGCGAAAAAAAGGAATTCTTGCTATAGTAATTTCTAATTTCCAAATAAACTACGTTATTGTTTTATTATCCCATTGTCATCGTGAAAATCCAATTGAACGTTAACCCGTTATCCCCCATAACGGTTTCAGAAGAGTCGCTAATAAAACAACTATTGCAACAGAGTATTGCTCTATTGAGTAGATCAGTAATATAAGCAGATCAATGAGATGTGTTTTCTTGTATGTAGAGTAATTTGACAGCTCCAATTGCCATTTTATGTCGTACAATTTCTTGTTCAATTAAGTTTGAGGAAAATTTTTAAACTCATTTTATTCAAAAGCAGCAACGTTTGTTGATATTGATCGTACAGCACACCATATAAAGATAAGAATTTCTCGTAGGTAAAAAAAATTTAAAAAGAAGAGATCCCTTTTTTTAAATAATTTTATTATTATCACTTTTGTAAGTTGTATATCTTAGAGACAGAGCAAGGATGCAAAATATTGTTTTTACCAATCTGTAGTTCAGAGAATTCTCTAAATACAGTGCGTAGTTTTCTGATATCACACGTTCAGTATTTTCTGCGATGTTTCTAAAAATGGCAATGCCAATTGCCGATCGGGAGTAAAAAGTGAAAAGTATGTCGATGAGTTTATTTTATAAATACTTAAGTAGTTTTCTAATCTATTTTTTATTAAGAAGTAATAATTAACAATGTTTTCGCTATGACTGATCAACAATGATAACCTGGCAATCCTACTTGGTAGATTGCTAATGTTTATCTGTGCATTGGTTGTTATATTTTTTGATCTAATTTAAATTGATGTGTATTATAAGTAGCATATGTGAAAAAAAAGAAAAGGGCAAAGAGTAGTTGTTTGTAAATATGCTAATCGAAGGTTTGGTCATACTTCATTGATTTTTATGACATCGTTAAATAATAAAATCATGTTTATTACATTATTTCATAAGAAAAATGTCGATTCCATCACTTGATACATTACCAGTAGAACTTATTTATTATTTATTGGAATATCTTGATATATCAACATTATTATTTTCATTTCGTTATGTATGTAAACGATTTCAAACAATTGTTAATTCTTATGATCAATATAAACTTGATATGAGATTAATATCAAAAATTGATTTTGATCATATTTGTCATGTAATATCTCCGAAAAAAATTCTTTCAATTATACTTACTAATGATATAGATACACCATATCAAATTCGTACATTTTTATCAAAGTTTTCATTTGAACAATTTTCTCAAATTCAATCATTAGATTTAATCAAAATTGAAGAAAATAATTTATTTTCAATAGTAAACCATATTTCGCAATGTTCACTTAAATCATTATCAATTGATTGTAAATCATGGGATAAAATTAGTTATACAACACGTGTACTTCTTTCATCATTAATAGCAAAATTGAAACTAGAAAAACTCAATTTAAACATATCTTATAAAGGTTTAGATGTGTTTTCATGGTCACCATTACCAACTACGTTAAAATATCTTCGTCTTGAAAGTTGTACATTTCAAGAATATTGTATAATACTTCGTCATGCAATTAATTTACATAAATTTATATTAACAGAATGTCATATGTATGATTCTAATGGAACTATGTATAAACCATCCGATGTAATCTATCAATCAAAATTAAAATCATTATCATTTGGTGCTTGTTATATACGTATGAAAGAACTTTCAATATTAATATCTTGTACACCAACACTTAATCATATGAAATTGATTCTTTGGACTGATTTATCTGATCCAATACTCAATGGTAAACAATGGGAAGATTTTATTTTAAAAAAATTACCATTATTAAATGAATTTGAATTTTTTTTTAATATTTTGAATTATATTAATCGTCATTCATTAGTAAATATCCATTTATATATTCAACCATTTCAAACACCATTTTGGCTTGAAAAAAAGCATTGGTATGTTGCTTGTGATTATATTAAAACCTTATATATTATTAGATTATATTCATTACCTATATGTAATTCATTATTGACATATTATACAAATTCAAAGAAAATTTCATGTTCAACATTAAGTACAACAAATAATCATGTTCAATTAACTGATCAAGTACATGAATTAAAATTTAATTTAAATGAAACAATGGAAGTTAATGATAATATACAGGTATTAATTAATTATTTATTGAGTTTTATTTTCTTATTTCATTTTCTAGACTAATCAATTAAAAGATCCAATATTTCAAAAAATTACTCATCTTTCTTTAAATGTTGATGGAAAACATCCATATATTTCCTTGCAATCTCTTCAAACTATTATCGATTTATCATCTCTTGTTTGTCTTTCAATGCAAATTCTTGTTCATAATTTAGCTCAACGTTCATCTTTAATTGACTATATATCATCAATACTTAAGAAAACATCGAATATTCATTCACTAAAAATAATTTATAACCATACTGGAGAACCTTTCATTAATATTGAAAAATTATCTTCAATAATTCCTCGTTCTATTAAACATTTACAAATATCAATAACAAATCTTGATGAAATGAAAAATATTCTTGAACAACTTAATCAATTATCAAGTGTAACATTTTATTCATTAAATATGTCATATTATTATGAAGATATTATGAAATGGATTAAAGTAAAACAAAAAAATTCTATATATCGACGAGGTTTACGTTGTATACATATATGGCTTGAAATTTCAATGAATAATAATAATAACAATGGAAAAAATTCTATGAAAAAAGTTTTTCATCGAATTCGTCATAAACAAATTAGTTAATATTAAATTTTGTATTTTTTGTATTTTTTAAAAATAAAATGTTTTCGAAACAGAAAATAAATTATTTTTACCTATGATTGGTATTTTGTTATTTTATACTCTTTCGTAGAATAGAAAAGTATAAGTATGAAAATTTAACGTATTTGAATGAAATTGATTTTTCAAAAATATTTTTTTTTATGACGAAAAAACAAATACGAATTTAGTTCATTTAATTAATAAACTGAAATAACTGTTTTTTGTAAATATATTACTATTTATCACTCAAGCTGTATAATAATGTAGTTGAGATTTAATGCACTAAATAACACTTGCCTAAAATTGTGTGACAACATAATATTATTGGTATTATTGTGCAGTAGGTGTCATCGTCATATCGTCTTTTGACTTCCTTTTTCGCTTGTTCTATTTATTACATGTTTCCTACACAAACCTGATTTTTGTTCTTGTTTTTTTTTTTTCAATAACAATGTTTATTTTTATTTATTAAAAACGAAAATATTTCATATTATACTGAAAAGGATCATCAAGAAAACTAGCTCAATTGTTTTTCTTTGACAATATTCTATTAACTCTATTCATTCTCGATGAGATGCAGCCGTTTTCATATATGAATGTTATTTACACAATGCACAACATAATTTAACTTATTGACATGCTTTATGAATGTGATTATACACGTATCAATCAATGTCATCTTGTCGTGCATGATGCAATTATTTTGTGCTAAAGTATAACAGAATGGTGAAACGGCCGTTACAAAGTGTATCCAAGAAAGATTTTATGAAAAGTTATTTCAATTTCTATGATAAATTATGAACAGAAGCGATATTCAATAATTATTCTTGATATATTTTATCGTTGTAGAATAATAAACAAGTTAGATTTAATTATTAATTGAATTGATGCATAATTTGATTAATGATATTCGAAAATTGGCAACGACTTAAAGCATATCTTTTTTCTTTTGAATATAGCTGAATTATTTTGTAGTTTGATATTTTCTGTATTTAATATTATTCGATTTGAATACGATCTAAAAACATGAGCAGATATGAGTTTAAAGAAAAAATGAATTTACTTAAGCTTTATATGATTGCTCTTCCCATATTTATCAGTAATAAGCCTAATTCAGTCAGAAATGTTTTATGAAATGTTTTTCTTACTTATCATTGTTGTTGAGACAACAGAAACAATAATAGTCTGCTTCATTCATTTCACAAGCAATTATTCTTTTGGACTGTATTCTTCAAGATATATTTTGTTTTATATTATGCTTGCCACTGATACTATTCATTTTATTAACGGTTGATGATCGATTACATGGAAATGGTGATTAATTATAAAATGAACCATACATTATGTATTTCATTTTATGTTATGATTATTATTCTCTATTCTATTTGATGGCATTCATCGAAGGTGTATTGGGCCAGATTTTGCTCGTTTTATAGTAAAACCGATCATGACTAGACTAATACTACTTGTGGTCATGAATGATGATGGATCTGAAGTTAATATTGGTGAATTCGTTCGAAGCCTAATGATGCAATGCCAAAAGAAAAACATTGATGTTACCTTAAATAAATTCAATTTCATCTATTGAACGTTCATTTTAATAAATTTCGAATGATTGTGACATATATGCTGAGTATACTGTCAAATAGAGCCTTATGAACATATATAATACAATAGGAGAATGAATAAAAGTAAATTAATAGTTGTCAAAGATTGATTATTTCCAAAATCTGCTCACATGAATTACATAACAAAAAGAGCTGATATCATCTAATTGGATAGAGAAAAACCATTAGCGGAAATTTCTACATAAAAAAAGAGAACATTATTATATGAAGGTTAGAAACGATGAATGATCGACGATGGACAGGAAAAGAAAATTTAGTAGAGTTATTATGAATTGCTTCTCTCTTTTCCAATATTGAGCCATTGGCAACATCTATTTCTTTTGTTGTACTTGGAATTAAGATGAATATTTTATTTGATATGATGAAAATAATCATTCTTTAGTAATCAACTGCTTTAATATTGTTCTAACAGACTTCAATCAAACGTAGATTTTTCATCAGTGAGATAGTTGAATAGATCATTTCAATATTTATGGATACTTAATAGAAATAAAAAAACTTGATAGTGACTTGATATGTACGGTTTAAGCACGAAAGTTAATGAAAATATCCATAAAATAAACAAAGATTGTGTCTACGTTCGCGTCTGTTTAGATTTCTTTGTTTTTACAGTCTCGCTATGCTAAAAGATATGCATCGATGAAATCGATGTGCTAAACATCTATAATGTTGAATTCGTACAATATGTGACAAACTAATCTTTCAAACCATATTGTGCATATTTTTACAAAAAAGTTTAAATAGAGTATAAACTTAAAAACGATATTCAAGTTCGAACAAATTATGAGTGACCAGAAATATTAACTATTGAAAATGATTCCAATAAATTACGCGAGAAAAAACTTCTGTCAAATCCTATTGTCATCATGTATCATTTTACAAGAATATATTGTCAAGTATTCAGTTACCTTTATTTCTATCACATTTTGGAAAAATGTCTCATCCAGGTCGAACTCTAGTAAATACTAGTTCAATTTTTCAGAAATTTTTTTTCTCTTCTCTATTGTGTGCTTTTGATCATTGAACATATATCTAAGATTTCATTCACCATATCGATTTCTATCTTCAGCATGTCTCTAAAGTATTTTCTATTGCTTTCGACTATTATGATGAAAGTTCTCCTGATTCTATATGATGCTGAGTGAAACCACTACTAATTGAAATCCTCTATAGTTTAGGCACGTTAAGTTTAATTGTTTCGTATAAGTTTAATTTATCAGAAAAAAACACGTGTTCACATTTCACATCAAATAACAAATGAAATATCATATTATTAATCATCGTTGTGATATTGTTTCCAATAATTTGTCAGCAAGAGCTTTGCCACCAGTTTTTTTCTGCACAGGTGCAGTACTGTTCGATATTGATAAATACATTTCAAGTAGTAGAATTGTTTCTGTCAGCTGAAGTTGAGCAAGATCAATTCTATGGAAAATAATTCAATAATAAATACATTTAAGATAGTATTACAAGTTTTATACTTTCTAAAAGCAGCATCAAGTTTTTGTATTTGTGCTTTTTCCATAGGTGATAATATATCTTCTACTTCTTTAATTTGTTCTTCTTCAGCGTTTTGTTCTCGAAGACTATGAATAATAGCATCAACTTTATCACGTTTATCAATTAATTTTCTATGACGTTCTTTTTCAAATTGATGTCTTTGCATTAAATTTGACATTGTCTATTTACAAGAAAAAAAAAATAAAGAAAGTTTTATATATAAATTAATAAGACTATTTATTGTTATTTTTGATATACTTTATAAGAATGATCAAGTAATGATAAAACGCCAATGTATAAATTTACACGAAAAAAATAAAATGTTCGAGTCGGATTAAAATCATTTGCTTTTGATAATTCCTACATGAAAAATTAAAATTAAAAACAAAACAAAACAAGTGCATCAAAAAAGAACAAATCTACTTCTAATGTTAACATTCCATCAATAAACATTGAATAAACGTATTGTTGTGCTTCTTTTGCATTGATCATAGCCATATCTTCAATCTAAATAAAAACAAAAAAGATAAAAATGCCAAATTCCAAAGAATTAGTTACTTGTTTTTGTGATAAACAGCCGCGTTCTTCAAGCATATTATAAATTCTTAATGCATTTGAACCAAATCTTTCTCTTAGAAATGATTGAATATGACCTTTAGTTAATCCACTCAATGCTTTTTGAAAATCTTCAAAACAAAAAACAAAGAAAGCAGAAAAATTGATTTATATTAACAAAAAGAAACAATCCGAAATTAAATATTTTTCTTACCTACAATATAAGTTCCTCTTCCATGATCACCAACTTTTATAAGGCAATTATTCTAACAAAGTTTCAATATTCAATCTTATTAAATTATATAATTCGATCTTACCACATCACCCATAATAATATTCATATATTTTTGTAATAAATCTTCATTCATTTGTAAACCAGTTGTTGCTATTGTTTTAGCAATCTGTAAACAAAGAAAATTTCTTTTTTTTAAAGAAAAAAAAAATGATTTACGTCTATAAATGATATTGGTATAGTTCGTTCTGGATTTTGTTTTACTTCAGCTAAACGGAGTATTGTTCGAACGATTTCACCGGCATTCTAAAAAATTATTGGATAAAATAGAATTTCTTTTTGAATCTTCCATTTTTACTTGATCTATTCGATTTGTAAATGCTTGAATAAGCTCCTGATCACGTAAATAAGCAAAAAAACGTTGAAAATTAACTTTCCAAAAAATTTTTTCATCACCAAATATTGGTTTAGTTGATTTAAATCTTTTTGTTGACGGTTCATTTGATTGATCTTGTTGATTTGATATTAAATATTTCCATCCATCTTGTGTTAATTCTGGTATTTGTACAAGATTTGTTAATGAATCTTCAACTACTTCTGATACATTAGATTTCGTTTCATTTATTGTAATACGTTGTAAAAATTGTGCTGAAACTAATGATTTAAATGATTCTTTTATGGATTGTAAACTATGAATTTGAGGATCTTTGCCAGCTTTTATTAAACGTTCATATACTTCAACTAATAATGTACTCATACGTTGTTTACCATTTAATAAAAGTTCTTCTATTATTAATTCACCATCAAAACCATATAATTGTCTAGCACAATGAATACATTTTGAATAATGTAAAATATATAATGTTCGTTTGAGATTAAAGGCATATAAAATACGTTTAGAATCTGTACGAGCACCTCCATTACATTCTACTATGTCATGTATAGCTAATGTTGCGAGAGATCGTGCAATATTAACTGCTGGAATTTTAAGATCACGGACAAGAAGAGCAAATGGTAGTGGACCTTTACGATTGAGATATGAAGCAACTTCTTTTGATGTTCCATCAGGAAATAAGTCTCCAATTAAATCAAACGCTAAACGAATATGATGTGTTGTCATATCTAAAATACAAACAGTATCATATGGTTTGTAAATCAAAGATTGTACATCTTTGATTAGATAATCTAAATTTAAGACGAATATGAATCGTATTAATTTATTAGTCAAAATGCTCTATTATCATAGTATAAAAACAAGTTTCGAAAACTTTCTTTTTATCCAGATTTTACTGTAAATAGGGTTAGTGAATGATAAGTAGGTGGACAGTTCAGTTGACAAACAAGAATTAAAGGAAAAGAAATAGAAGGAATTGTGAAAAAGGCTGACTCTTCAGAACTATGATTTTTTTCTGACACAATTAAAGTTTATTACATTCTATCGAAAGGTAAACTCAGAGATTTGAATAGAGCCTGTTGGGTCCTATTTTTTTTGGATTCGGTTAAACCATCCTTTCATACTTTAAATGATATTTTCCAATCATAATAGGATAGACGCTCCGAACATATGAGATGCTTTCTTCTGGTTTTTGTATTCGATGACTAGTGTATCCTACACATTTCTCGGATGAAGTCATCTGAGAAATGTGTAATGTAGAGTCGACTGGGTCCAGATTTGAATAAATATGAAAAAGATTAATTCAGGTAGTCTCTTGATTTCTTGAATATTTAAAATTTTGAATAAAATACGAAGAAATTTGTTGCTTTTTTTATTGTTAAAATCACGAACCACAAAAATATAAAAAATTGAATAAACTTAATCTTTCTTTCCAGTTGATTCTTTTATGAGTTCGACTTTTGTTTTTTTGCCTGATTGATCATCACGAAATGCGACATAAAGAAAAGCAATTAATATAATATGAACGACGATAACAGCTACAGCAGCTGAATAAATATAACTACTCGCATCTGTCATATTAAAGATTGTTCCAAATATATAATCCTTTGTAATAAAAAATGATGAAATGGGTGCCAGTGTCATCATAACAGTAAAGAAAAGCATTTTACGAAAAACAGTCCATATAACTGCTTCATTAGCCTTATCATCATCTTCAATAAGTTTATCGACTGTTGTAGTCGGTTGTATAACTGATGTTCGTTGCATCTGAAAATAAATGTCTATACATATACATGAAATCTAACAGAAAAATATCGAGATTTTCTTTGTTTGTTTTATTTTTGAACATCTTTTTTATTTATATTAGTATACAGAAATGTGTACATAAATTTAATACAACAAAACTTTTTATTTAATTAAGTCCAGGTAAGATAATTCCAACATTTTCCATAAGTTTATTTGTTAATGGATCTGATTTTGATGTTGATGAATTTGTTGATATTATTTCATTACCAAGACAAGCCATTAAATTACATGCACATAATGTTCCATCAAAAAGAATAGCTGAAAGATTATCAATTGATGTTGCTGCTGATGTACCACGAGGATTAAGATGACCTAATTGTCGAACTTTTTCACCCATTTTTGTTAATGATTCACCAAGTAAATAAATTCCAGCAGCTATATCAACAATATCATAATTTTTTGGTGGTGTAATTATTGGTGATGTTATTGTTTGTTTAATAAAAGCGTTTGGTGGTCGTATCGCTGATAATGATGGTTGTTGTTTAGAATATTGATTTAAAGTTTTTTGTAAAAGTAATGGTGGATGATCATCGATAGGCTTTTTTCGTTTTGTTGATTTTGTAGTTTTTGTTGTTGTTGTTGTTGATGTTGATGATGGCGGTGGTGGCGGTGGTGGTGATGTTGTTGGTTCAGTACTAGTTGATGCTTTTAATAATTCAGCTGTTATTGGATAATGATAACTTTCTTTTTCAGCTTTAAGACACCAACGTTGTCGATCATGTGCACTCATTTTTTTCCATGTACGATAAAGACGTTTATCATCAAGTGTCATAGTTCGATGACGTGCACGATATTTCATAGCCCATAAACTAAAACCATCAAGCATTTCACTTGACATTGAACCTAATGTTGCAGCTAAACCTAATGTTCGATCATGTTCTTGTTTAGTACCACTTGTTGTCCATTCTTCTTCATCACTTAATACACCGGATGAATGATCATCATCAACATCTAAACCTTCATCTTCATCATCATCATCTTCTTCAGATGTTTGTTCTTCATCTATTGAAAAAAAAATTCAAATAATGATAAAAAAAACACAGCATGATAGCAAGAAGAAATATTATTACGAAATTCTTCATCATCACTTTGTCTTTGTGTTACTCCATTTTCATCATCACTTTCAACATCGTCACCCATAACCATTTGATTCGAATCTCGTTTCGTTTTAGCTAAATAAAGAATTATTATCATTATGAAATATGTCCATAGTGATGAACAAAAGCTTTTCTTCAAGACTAAACTTTATTTTCATATATATATATATATATATATGTTAATCAAAATCAAACTTAGAAGAGAAGACAACTATATACGATATTCTTTGGTTAAAGGAGCTTAAATAACTATAGTCGACAGAAAGCTGTAAGGTTAATTTAAAGTAAGAATGTATTGATTTATGACACCGTATAATAACGGTAGAATATCTGCGGTATCAAAAACTATTAATCTTTATCAAATCTCTAAGTCTTTCATAATTCTCATTTGATTTCCTCAAACAACACAAACAATATCAACATTAGTTAGAATCAATAAAAAAAGTCTTCTATTTCAACTTCTCTAGACAACCTATTAAGATATAAATATCTATCTAAGATTGATCTTCTTTAATGTATAACACACTTCCATTGCATCTGAAGACGAGCATAGTTCTAACAAATAAACGTGTATTTCTTCTATTTAATGTTAAACTGAAAGAATAAATCCTGAAGACTACTGCTTCAATGAAATCAATTGTGTTTTTTTTAATTAATAAAATTTTGTCTCTTACCACTTGAAACAGTTTTAGGTGTTGTTGATTTTCTTCCTCGTCCAACACGTTTAACTGATGGTGTTGTCTGTTTTTTACTTTTAGGTGATCCAGTTGATGATTTTCTTCCTTGAACATTAACCATAGTTGGTAAACTTCCATTTTTAATAGCTTCAAGATCAGCTTTAATAGGTGTTTGTTTTTTTTTCGAATATGTTGATGGACGTTTTGGTTGTATAGTTGAATGAACAGGTGATAATGGTGGTGATATAGTTGCACCTTGAACAAGTTCTTTAAAATAAGGTGTATATTTAATAGTTCGACCTGACTTTGTTTGTTTAACTTCACTAAATTGTGATTCATGTGGTGGAATTTTCACCGGACTTGGTTCATCAAGTGAAAGCGTATTAACTGTTGTACCAATTAAACGACTAATTACTTTTTTACGCGATGTTTGTTGTTTTTTTTTCGATGGTGAATTTATTGTTAATAATGATTCATCATGTTTATTAATAGGTAATGGTGAATTTTGTTCTTCATCAAAATTTTCATTATTATCATCAATTTTTAAAGGTATTTCATTATCAGATGACTCATCAGCTGATAGTTCATTTGTTTCATGTGTTATGTTTGTTATTATTCGATTATCGGATGTATCTTGAACAGATTGTGAACGTAAATTAAATTTTAATTTTATTTTTGGTGTGGGTGTTGGAGGATTTTCTGTTTGTTCATCATGAATTATTTTTGTTTCAGGTAGAGATTCATTAGTTGATTCTATTGATGAAATATTTTTTTCAATTATTATTGGTGTTTCAGATGATTTTGTTGATTTTGAACGTCGACCAGGACGTTTTTCTGTTGTTGATGTTGTTGAATCTGTTGCACTTATTTTTGGTTTAAAAAAATAAGCTATACCCGACATATTTCTAAAAGGCAAAACATTCTACAAATATTTGTTTGTAATTTTTCTATATTTCACAAACTGAAGAAAACAAAAGCGAAAAAATAATGTTTTGATAACTTTTTTTTTCATTTTCCTGTTTTTTTGACTTTCTTTTTTTTTAATTTACACACAACAAAAGACAAAACAACAAAAGATTTCGTTTTTTTTATAAGATGTAAAAAATACTGAATGATATGAGCAGATACAATGAAAAATATTTAAACGTGATTAAGAATTAGAATTAAAATTAAAATAAATGCCACATATGGTTTCATTCGATTGGTTTTTGACATTTCAATTTGATAAAAATCATCAATAATTGATGTTGTTTGAGATGATGACGGTGGATTATATGGATAATAATGATGTTTTATATAATAATTATTTTGTTGTTTATTTTTACGATTTTTTTCACGATGACGAGTATGAAAAGAATTATGGAGATTTGATGAATGTGAACGAACTAGATTATTATTAAGTTCATCAGATGGATAAAGATGAATATTTGTAGGGAAAAGTTTTGGAGATGCTGTTGTGGTTAGTAATTGATGAGAAGGATTTATTTGTGTCCCATAAAAAACTAAAGACCAATTGAGAAAAATAACTAAAAGAAAAAAAAATAATAATAAACATTAAAATTACAGTCGATAATATAGTAGAATAGGTTTTCTCTACTTTGGTCGAAAGTAAAAATGATGAAAACTAACGTGGAGATTTTCAAATATTTACTATTGAAATAGAGCGAAAGACAAGAAAAAAAGCTTTTAACTGACCAATCACTTTCGAATTCAGGTTTGCTGAATACGATAGGCTTCCGTGAAATATGAAAAACTCTCCAGAGTAAATTCTCTTAGGCCTTCTGTCCAGAGTTATAAGCACTTGTTAGAATTTTAGTCTCTGGCATGGTATATACCAACAAATCAAAATGATGGTATTTCGAGTTGAGATATTGCCTGTATACAGGTCTATTTATGATTAAAATGTTCTGATATTTCAGCTATTCAGAACATTTCACTAACAAATAGACCTATGCGTCGATGATATTTCAGATCAAAATACCATCATTTCATTTATTGGTATATACCATGTCAAAGGTTAAAATTCTAGTAAAATATCTATAACTCTGGACCGAAGACTTAAGAGGATTTATTCTTTGAAGTTTTTCATAATTCATTGAAGTCTACCTCAATGTATTGAGTCAGAATTGAAAAAAGATTGGCCAGTTAAAAAACGTGCTCTCATTAGTTTATCAATGTTAAGTAATGTTCCTGTTGAATAATCATAACTTTTTTTTTTATAACCTAAGACAAACCATTGAGAAGATCAAATGCTGTCGACCGTTCAATACATCCAAAGGGTGTAGATATTGCTTTACTCTTCACACATACATTTCACCCTTCGACCAAAGTTGATTTTACTGTAGAATAACTATAAACTCATTGAGAATCAATTCAATGCTCGTAGGAACGCCGAATTCTCAATATCTATGCTAAATAAAACACTACTACTAACCATTATTTTCCACATCAACAATTTCTAAAGTCCAAAGGCCACGTGGTGATTCACCCCAATTATGTACTGTCATAAATGGCCAATTATTAAATCCATCAATGGAATCATCTTCAACTCTTCGACCAAGTAATGTTGAATTTGTACCCATTGGTGAAGTTAAAAATATCTGTAAATTTCCTTTTTGACAGAGAAAAAAGAGACCAATAAAGATAAATATATTTTTGTTAAAAATTCTAACATACCACGATATTTAACTTTAACAGATATTTTTGATTGTACATGTTCAAGAAAATTAATTTCATTTTCTGTATTCACACAAGCATCAGCATACATATGAATAACAACACGTTCATATTTTTTAAATGTTCTTTACATAATAAAAATTTTAATGTTTCATTTTCTTTTCGATTTTGTAACTTACTTTGCAATTATATTTGGATCATTTTGATGACAAATACGTTGAGAAGGAACTGTTCTCCATTTTTGAGCCTAAACAAAAACAAAATAGATTTTTTTCTCTTCGAAATAATAAATTTCTTACTTTTAAAACTAATTGAGCAGCATCCATCATACCAAAACCAAATGCATGACTAACACGTTTACCTACACCATTTGTTTTCCAGTCTAATGCATTTAAAAATTTTGGTTTAGCTGTTTCAACAATTAAATGTTGAATATCACGCCATGTTAAATTACGATTAGCTTCAAGTGCTAATGCAATTATACCAGCAGCCATGGGAGCTGAAGCTGATGTTCCTTTATAGAAAAAAAAATCGAAAGAAAAGCAAAACTTCTAAAAATCAATTCGAACCAAAAAACAAACTAATTTACCTGTATGATTTTCTGTACATTGACTTCGAAGATCAGTTGAAACAACTTGTTTTTCATCGGACGCTCCACTACTATATGTTGTTGCTAATGTTGATGAACAAGATTCGGAATACCATGGTATATTACCATTTTCTGTGGCACTTGATATTGATACTGTATAAATTGAATTTGTATAACCATCACAATTACAATTATCATCATCTTTTCCACCATTGCCGGATGCCCAAACATAGATTGAACCAAGACCTTGACGACCCTAGAGAAAGAAAAAAAAAAACAGATAAAAAAGGAATATTTTTTTCGATGATAGAATTTACATATTTTATTCCATTTTCAAATGCTGCTTGTGCTAATGTAGCTGGTCCATCAACAGTTTTTCCATCATCATCCGGTCCCCTGAATCAATTTCCTTCATAAATAATTTATGATATAAAAAAAAGAATTTACTTACCAACTAGCTGAATAAATATCAATAAAATCTGGACGAAAACTCAATGCCATCGATTCAACTAAATCAGTTACTTCGCCATCTAATAAACGAATACCTAAAATAAAAATCGAAAATATCTAAAAGTATATCCATGTTTTTTCTTTTTGTTAATTCTTACCTCCAATTCGTGCATTATATGCTACTCCGACATTACATATATTATTATTTGCTGCAGCAGCTAAACAAAAATAAAATAATTATTTCCGAAAGAAACGAACTTCTTAGATTTCTTACCAACTTCACCAGCACATCTTGTTCCATGTCTAATGAATAAATAACAAAAGCAAAAATCAAATATAATTTTTCACATATTCTCATTCATCATATAAAAACTAATAAATCATGCAGTACAGAAAAAAAGAAAAGAAAAATAAGTAAACATCATTCTCATCTCTAGGCATGCTGATAAATAAAATACAAACAAATTTATCATAGTATTGTCAATGTGAAAAAATCCTCATTCTCTATTTACTTATTATCATTAGTCGCTGTCATTCGGGGTTGTGGATCGCTGTCATTTCCATTGATATCATAACTAGCACGCGGTTCCTATAAACAATATCAAGTCTAATTTAACTCTCATATATATATACTTTTTAAAATATTTTGTTTCTTATGTCTCAATAAAAAATAAGCAACAAAAAAAAATTTTTTTTTCTTCTACTTGTTTTCATTTGTTGGATCATAACGTGGTTGTGGATCATTGTCATAACCATTGATATCTGTACTTGCTTGTGGTTCCTAGAAATTTTTTTTTTGACATGCAAACATGCAATACACATCACATTGTAAAATGATATATATACTTACATAATTTTGTATTAAATCTGGATGATCTTTCTCAATACCATCGTCAAGAATTGTTACGACAACATTTTTACCAGTAAAACCAAGGCGCCATGCACCTGAAATGTTCATTGCTCGACCATGTTCATTTTCATCATGCTTTTAAAGGAAACAAAGTTAGGTGTCTCAAATGATTTTCAAAAAAAAAAAGAAAGATAAAACTTACCATGTACCATTGCTTATCCCATTCTGGATCATTAAATTTCGAAGGCGAAGATAATTTCATTGGATGATAAAACATTATATTACGTTTAACACGTTTTTTAACTTGTTGTTGTTCAACCCAATCAATTAATGGTTCATGTTTAAGTTCATCAAGTAGATCATTATCAGATCCATCTAATGAACGTTTTCGTCGTCGATTTGTTATTATTTGACGAAATACAAAATAATTTTGATTTGGTATTGCCTTTTAATAAATTATATATTATAAAAAGAAATTAATAATTTTTTTTTTTAATATTTTACTTGTCGTTCAAATTTTAAGTGATATTTTTCAGCTAATGATCGAGCTGCTTGTTCACCTTCATTAACATGTAAAACAAATTCGTTTGTATATTTCAAATTTTCAATTTTAGCAAATGCGACGATGATAAAGAGAATTAAATCAATAGTAACAATGATATGACGGGTAACAACAATAAGCATGTCCTCGATAATGACGCCGAATAACTTTCGGCCATATCACATTGTTCGTTGTCTATTGGTCACGATTAGTCTTAGACTTAAATATTTAATGATTAATACGATTAACAATATAAGAGATCAATTGCTTATCTACAATAGACATATACTTAACAATTTATGATAATCAACTAGAGTATATAGCAAAAAAATGAATGTATCTTTTATTTCATCACAATTGATTGTCTTTCGACTTATGTAGAGAAGTAGCATCAGACACGCTTTCTTCTTTTCTTTTGAAGACTAACTAGAAAAAAGAAGCTCTCTTGGGGAATCAACATAAAAATGAAACAGGGGAAAAATTAAATACGATGAGAACAAAACTCAAACCAATCAAGGTCACATATCTTCTACACATGCCGAGACATGTCATTAACCTTCTGCTTTCAAACAACATGCTTACATGCATATAAATATTTGTAATGCAGCTGTATAAGTGTCACTGTTATTATATATAGATCTATCAATAAATCTGACACATGTCTCATTGATGTCTTAGGTCACTATGTTTGATGTCTAAATGGGTTACACTTATCTTGAGTTACTTACTCATACGTTCATCATGATAATCAAGATGGATCCATATTTTCTTACGTCAGAAAGAAATAAAAAGAAC